TTCATTGTCATAATCAATTATGATGCATCAGAAATTGAAAAATGATTTTCTCTGTCATAATTGATTATACTAGTAACATAATCAATTATGGCAATTCAAATTTGAAAAATATATCTGTTTTGAAGAATAAATATTTTTGAATATATCCTGATTTTTATTCACAAAAATATTAATGTCCAACGACCATTTTCTGATACTATTTTTCTATTTAATTAAGTTTTGATGAAAAATAAAAAACACACAATTACAGAATTCGAAAATACAATTTACATTCAATCAGTTTTAAGAAAAAAATTATAAGCAAGGCAACAGAGATATTTTACACCTTCTGAGAAAACCCTCTTCTCTATTGTCTTCTGTGCTCTCATTGTTAATCACACTTGTTCTTGGAGATTGACATTCTACAGGCTTGTACAATTTGTTGTCTCCATTACCCAGGTGTGACTGTTCTTATTTTTATTACCTTCATCCTTTGTGTATTGGTGAAGGGGGTGTTTTTCATTCCTAGTGTGATTCTAGGGAGGTGTTCATCCTTAGTGAGATTCTAAGGAGGTGTTTTCATTCTTTGATTTGTTCAAAGGAGGTTTTCCTTAGGGATGGCAAAACGGGCTAGGCTCGGCGGGCCGGCCCGCCAGCCCGCCATAATATGGCGGGGCAGGTTGGTGTTTTCAGCCCACCAGCCGCTTTGGCCCGCCCGCCAAGCCCGCCAACCGCGGGACTGGCGGGCCGGCCCGCGACCCACCTAATTAATAAAAAAATAATTTTTTATTGTAATAAAATTAATTATAAAGATAATATATAAAGTTAAAAATTTTAAAAAGAGAATTAAAAAAGTTTTATTCTCACAGAAAATATTCTCCTTCCTGAAACGTAACCTTCTCTCCTGTTCTCCTTGTTTATCCTAAGCACTGATTATTTTTATCCTTATTACTTGAATTAATGGTGTAAGAATTACTCAACTAAGAATAATATGAAGTTTTATCAAATAAAAAAGATATAGGTATTTGAATTTTTCAATATAAAAAATATAAATTTATAAGTTTAACATTATTTATATATATATATATATTTTTTATTATTTATTATTATGTAAATTATATTATTGTTCTAAATTATAATTTCTTAAAATAATGTATTGATTTATATTATTAAATTGAAATAATATATATATTGAATTATTGATAAACAAATAATAATTTTATTATTAAATTTATTAAAAAAATATTTTTTTCTAAATTATGGCGAGTCGACCCACCAGCCCGCTAACCTGCCCTTAGCGGGGCGGGCCAAGGTCTACAGCCCGTCATGATTATATCGGGCCAGCCCGCCCCGCCCCGCTTTTGGCGGGCCAAAGGCGGGGCGGGCCAAAATGGGACGGGCTGGCCCGTTTTGCCATCCCTAGTTTTCATCCCTAGTGTGATTCTAGGGAGGTGTTCATCCTTAGTGGGATTCTAAGGAGGTGTTTTTTTCATTCTTTGATTTGTTCAGAGGAGGTGTTCATCCCTAGTGGGATTCTAAGGATGTGTTCATCCTTAGTGAGTTTCTAAGGAGGTGATTGTCTTTTTAATTAGTTTACTTTTTATTGGTTCTTCTGCTGAGTTGATTGTAATTTGTAAACTGAATTTGAAAGATAGTGAATTGGGAGTCACTCTTGTGTTAAGAGTTGACTGGAAACTAGATGTAGGGTTGACTATACCCGAACCAGTATAAATCTTTGTGTGTTCTTCTCTTTCCCTTATCTCTTTCTCTTTTCCTGATTATATTATCTCTTCCGTTTTATTTGTGTTCAAACAAATTATTGACTCATAAATAAATTTTTAATTTGACATCTATTTTAATTTGTGCATCTATTCACCACCATCTAGATGTCATTTGTCTAACAAGATGATCCATTCCAAGTCCTCCAGAAAATTAATGACAATGTGTTTAGATTAGATCTTTCATCCGAATATGGAGTCAGTCCTCGAAGGATTGAAGAAGAAGAGGCGACTGCACGTAAAACACTCCTTTTATGGAGTCTATATTTTTAAAGGCCTTATGAATTACTTGTAAATAATTTTTCTCTTTCTGTAGGAATAAATGAGGACCCTCATCCATGGTCTCAACCAAACCAGGCCCAATCTACTAGGAACAAAGAGACTGCACCAACTCGAACCAAATGAATCTGTCACCTCTCCACATTCACCAACTTGATTGCACTTCAAGGGAACCTTGGAGTATATAAGCATGAGTTTATCTTGTTTTGATCGATGTGGAACTTGGAGGATGAAACACTAAAAGGAGATGCAGCTACGGTCAAAACTCCTCACCCATGATCTAGAGCTCACAGTCACAAGCCTCGAACAACACCCATGGCTCTACACCACAAGTCACGATCAAAGCACAACACACCAACCTTTTAGTTAGCTCAAGACCGCACCTAAGTTGGTGTTTGCCAACCATTGAAACACATTGTAATATATACTCTTAGGAAGACATAGAAAGGAGGAACGTGGGACTACATTGAGTCATTCTTGACGCCTAAGCATAAGAATAGGAAAAGTCTCACACCTCTAAATTCTTTAAGTGGATGAGAGAGAAAATATTATAAATATAACCTTTTGTGTAATTCTTTTTGACAAATGAAATCAAGCTTAGTGTGTGAAACTTGCATAAGTGCTTGTACCCCAAAATTGACTTGTCTTCTAATGTCTTTGGAGACTTTATTCTCCTATTCTCCAAGCAAGGATCCTTTCTTGAAAGAGAAAGTGTCAAGTTTCTTAAGAGACTTGAGAAAGAATTTTTAGTTGACTTTTCAGGATTTGAGATACATATTTTTGACGTCGAGGAGGAAGGAGAAGGGTGATTCCATTATGGTACATTTTATATTGGTGCAAATTTCAAATGATTAAATCATACTTGCCAGAATTTTGATTATAAAATTGTCATTCATTTGTGAACAAAAAATTTCAAGTGGTTAAATCATTTTGATTGATCTACTTTTATCTAATTAAATTAGAGCTAAGCGAGATGCTGGGACTTGAACTTTTCCAAAATGAATGACTTATTTGCTCAAGCTTCTTAATATGACGTGAGTACTTTAATGTCCCCAAGCTTTCTTCTTTCTCGGTTCACTAAAGTTATATTTATCTATTCGAAATGTACATGTTACCTATTATATGTCAAATGCTTTGAATACTAACAAAAAGCCTTTAATGAAAAGTTAAATGAAACTAAGATAATTGTAACATTAACAATTTGTGTCAATATTATTATTATTATTATTATTATTATTATTATTATTATTATTATTATTATTATTATTATTATTATTATTATTATTATCATAACTCCTATTATTATAATTGTAGTTAAAATTAGAAGACAACGTTTCATGGCAAATTGGAAGAACCTACCACGTCAAGATAAGATCAAACATGTTAATAAATAAATTTGATGTTATTTTGTTTTGTGCTGGATGTTTAGATTTTTTTTTTCTGTTTAAATGTTGGTTGAATATCATTTGGTTTAGATGTTGTTTGAATTTAGACTTATATTTATTTGGATGTTGGTTGAATTTGATTTGTTGCTGGTGCAGATCGACCCGTATAGCCGACGAGTTTTACGGGACGGGTATTATGCTGATCGACCAGACCCGTATAGCAAATATCTTTATTTAAAAATCAAATTATTGCAAAAAAATTAGGAATATTTTTAAAATAAACACATTTATCATTGTTGATTTGAGACGATAAAGAATCAAGTAAATATTAACATAATATCGAAGATAATAAAATTGTTGCTATAAAAAATGTATCTTCATATTTATTATTTGTAACTTTTTAAAAAATTAATTTTGAAATTGATACAACGATTGCATCCCTTACATAAACAAATGCTTAATCAAAGAAATCTAAGGAAGTTGTTTTTTTTTTTTTAATAAACATGAACACAGTGATCAGAGAAGCAACTTGACCGTAATCAGTGAAGGTAAAAGGTACTTCTTCTTCTAAAAATTATAAGTTTGGGTTTTTAGGATGAAAGATTAACATAACTAAATCAAACGAAAAGAGGAGAAAAAAAGGCAAAAAATAACAAAATCGCCGTTGCCGGGGATCGAACCCGGGTCACCCGCGTGACAGGCGGGAATACTCACCACTATACTACAACGACCAATTGATTTTAAGTGTTTAATTAATAAATTTATCATTTGTTTTTATAATTATTATTTACAATTCTTGTTCTCCTAAAGATTCATTTTGATGCTACCGTTTTTATTTTTGTATGCATGATTATGCTTTATTTTTAAGTTTATGATTGAAATTGATCACAATCTATTTCACGTAATTTTTCCTATATATTTATGAGATTCATATAAAAGAAATATTCTAAGACATCCTAAAAAAAAGTGTAACTATGCGAGATAAATTATTGTCGCTGATAAACTATAAAAACTGTCATTTATTAAAGTCCTGTGTCTTATAAAAAGGAAGGTTGTCGTTTTTTTCGTAAGGTAAATTAGTATTATATCCTAGTAATATTTATTAATATTATGATTATTATTACTATTACTATTATATTCGAGAGATTAATAATTTGATTGATTTATTTTTTTTCAACTACAAAAATTATTAAATAATTTTGTAGTTTTTTTTTTTAAAGTGAAAACTATTTTTAAAAATAATAAACGAAAAAACCAAATTATTTTATGATATTATATTACATAATGATCAAGAACATATAATTTTCCAACCACTTTGAAATCTTCACGCTGTCTCCTCTATTACCATCAAAATAAAGTGGAATACATTTAAAATCGTCCAGTCGTTGTAGTATAGTGGTGAGTATTCCCGCCTGTCACGCGGGTGACCCGGGTTCGATCCCCGGCAACGGCGTCGTTTTTATCATTTCACGTTTTATCCTATTTTCTTTATCATTTGTGGTATTTCCCAGCCTAGCTTCCTCGATTGTACCTTTTAGGGTTGATAATTTATGTTTGAGTTTCTTCCACGTTTGAAAAGATGAACATTTGTTATTGCTGGGTATCGTCAATGAAATTCCCCTTTCACGGCTTGCGCTTCTCAAGGCCCTTTATCTCTCTATCTTCTTCATCTCGCAATCGCATGATGACTATTCAAAATTGTTCCTCTAATTCTTCTTCTTCAGCTTCCATATCAACGGAGTCCAAAGAGAAGAAGAGGGAAAATATACCTTGGTTAATTGTTGGCCTCGGGAATCCAGGCAAAAAGTACGCTGCCACTCGCCACAATGTCTGTCAGTTACACTGATCATACCCTCTCCATCTTTTCATTTTGGATAGTCACAAAACATAAACATAAAATCATTTTTTCATAACATTTCTTGATATTGATATTTTCATAACCTGTTTTGGAGCTTTATATTTTCAGGTCGGCTTTGAGATGGTTGATGCCATAGCTGAAGCTGAAGGGATATCTATGAACACTGTTTCCTTCAAAGCGTTGTTTGGAAAAGGTTAGAAAGATCTAGACAAAACCTTGACTGTAATATTTCTCTTCAATTAATTTGTTTATATATATATATATATATATATATATATATATATATATATATATATGTTTTTCATAGAGACATATCAGTCGGCAACAAATTAATATATTATGGTTTTTGCATAAATAATCAAATATTGCAGACAGCTACTGACTCCACATAATTTCAGTTCAGATTTCAGAATGTTGGTCATCAAAGCACATGAATGAATACTTAAGTATTTGTATGTTCCCATCTGTGACAGAAGTTGTTTTCAATTGCAGGTTTAATAGGTGATGTACCCGTCATACTTGCAAAACCACAGACTTTTATGAATTTAAGTGGCGAATCTGTATGTCTGCTATCTGGATATAATGTTCACATGTTTTTTAAGCAATAGCATTTTATTGTATCTACGCTATTATGATGATTCATGTTACACTAATACTATACATTTTATTACAGTCATGTTTTATCCTATGATTTTTTAAAAATTTCCAGTCTACTTGTCCATGTCTTTGTTATATCATATCTTTATTCCAAGTTGGACCTTCACTTCCTAAGAATCCACTGTAATAATTATTATATTTTGTTGATTTTTACTTGTTGGTGTTTCAATCTATTTTGAAGGTTGGGTCCATAGTTTCATATTACAAGATTCCACTGAAGCAAGTACTTGTGGTATAATATCTATGCTATGAAGATTGCTTTGTTCTTTTTATTTGCAAGTAATAAAGAAAAGTAGAAGAATGTCTGCTTGAGTAATATACTAAATTTTTTTTTTTTTTTTCAGATCTTTGATGACTTGGATTTGCCTTTTGCTAAATTGCGGCTTCTACCAAAGGGTGGACATGGAGGCCACAATGGGTAATTATAATTTTCTTTGCTTCATGCTTTGGCACCTTTGAATCTATAAATCAACTTGTCTATTGTTGTTGTGAATAGCAAAATCTAGATTCTTCATATTTCTGAAAGTTTAATATTGTCTTCCTTTAGCCACACCCACAAGATATTTGAAGAATACTTTGCTACAAGGCAAAATATTCGGTTGTGGGATGCTAGACTTGCATGCCTTATCTTGGAAAGGAACTATTTAGTTTCATCGGATGTGGCTAAATTTTCTGCCATCTGTTTAATGGTCATAATAATCTCCTCCCTTTGTCTTGGAGCAAAGGGTGATTGAGTTGCTGACGTGCTGTGTTGTACAACTAAGACAATATGCATGGAAGCATTCTGAGAACTAGTAACATTACTGTAGGAAAAAAGTAAACAACTCCCTTTCTCTGCTGAAATTATATGTTATAGGGATAAATGAGCTTCCTTATCTCATCATCAAATCATTGATTTGTTTGGTTTTGTACCATGCTAGTTTAAGAAACTTTTTTTTTTTGGTTGGGGTTGGGGGTGCATTTGGGGGAAGAGTTGTTGTACATAAGTTTTGGAAGAGGGTGGAAGGTAGGTTGCCATATTCTGAGGGCAAGGCATGCTGAAAGCTTAATTATTTTTATTATGATAATTTATACTGGGTGATATAACGATATCCATTTACCTTGTTTCTTTCAAATCGAAGAGTAAACTATCATTGTTTTCATTTTCCTTGCTGTTTGGCAGAATGAAGAGTGTTATTAATCACTTCAAAGGGAATAGTGGTTTTCCTCGTTTAAGAATTGGTAATTTCATATCATTTCAGTATTAGTATATCATTTATATTACAATAATTTATAATACGATGACATTTTATCGCTGATTAGGCATTGGACGACCTCCTGGTAAAATGGATCCTGTAGCATTTGTTCTTCGCACGTTCACTAAACAGGAAAGGGAAGAGGTATTTTTTTTTTTTCCTCTTTTTTGAAGTTTGAACTGACAAACTGGTTTGCAACAATGGTAGTTCTAAATGTAGCTAAAATTATCTTCAGTTGAATTTTACATTACAAGATGGATTAGAAGCTGTGCGGATTCTTTTGCTTGAGGGTTTTGATAAAAGTGCAACATTTGTTAATAGTGCCAAAAAGATAGAGCAAACAGGTTGAGGAATTGCTGACTTAGGATATCCTTTTGACAAACACAACCAAACAGGATCGTATAGCAATGAGATACAAATTAAAAAAGAGTAAATTCGTTCAAGGCTATGTTGGTAATTCGACAAGTTTTGTTGGAGCTAATATTCATCCATTCTTTCAGAAGCAGTTTCTGCCCAATGAATTTGAACCTGAAGCTTGGAATCTTCGGGTACTTCTATGTTTAAATACTATACTGTGTTGTGTTTTATTAATTTGAGCTCTTCCAGCACCTTGAATATGTTGTACGATGTTGTGGAATAATTATTAGGCAGTTGTAGTTAACGTTTATAATAATGATCACATAAGATCATTCATAGTCCATTATTGGCTGCCAGCGAGTTAATAGCTCACATGTCACTCAACAAGGGTCTTTAATTCTTAATCACTATGTACTATAATGTTTTTCCTGAGTTTTTTGTTATATCTATGAAAACATTCTCTTCAACACACTTACTAGATGAATTTTATGTTACTAAAATCGGAAGGTACTATGAATACAGCATGGAACTCACAATTTAGAGTGTCCTACTTGAATTTAGTCTATAATGAAAACTGTACTACTACCATAACTAGTATTATTAAATACATAAAATTGGTTATCTTGTATGGTTGTTATTGCTATTACCACTGATTTACTGAACCGACAGTTGAACTGATTCTTTGATCCGGAAATTTTTAAATAATTAAATTTTAATTAAATCTAGATAAAGAAAAATTGGGTCAAATTTATTAAAATTAAACAAAAAGTATTTAGGTCAAATTTTTTAATATATATTTTTTTACAAAAGATATAATATATTTAATTTTTTTATATTAGTTATGTTATTTTTAAATAATAATTATTAATTTTTTATTTTTTTAATATATTTTATATTTATAATTTTAATAATTATTATAATAAATTTTATTATTATTTTTTATATAAAATACATTATTATTTGGAAATTTATTATATTATAAAAATATTATTTTATTTTATTTAACTTGGTTAGATTATTGAATTTCGATTGAAGTTTTTAATTTTAAAGATATGTTTTTTTTTTCAAAAGGATTTTTTTATGATTCAAATTTTAAAATATTGATTATTATTGTAAAAATATAATAAAAAGTTTAAAATAATAGGAAAGGTTAAAATATACCTTTGGTCATTTATCTTTAAAAAAAAATTGGTATGGTCCTTTGTGTCTGTAATGTTACGGAAAGTTAGTTAAATCTGGTAACAAGATAAATTGAAGTTGAATCTAGCTCTATTTATACATCCTATGTGTCGAGACAGAATAAAAAATATTAGTAAATATATTTTTTAGTAAATTTTTTTTTTAACCATGTACCCCTCCGACTCTATTATGTGAAATGTTTAATGAATTTATACTATATACAAAATAGATATTTATGGTAATATCAATATGCATAAATAAATGTAAAATAATAATAATAATAATATAACCAATATTAAGTTAAAATATAATAAATTATTTGTCTTAATTAGTTTAATTTCTACAAATCTTTTTTAAATGAAGTTATTTTCAATCATTAGATTTTTTTTAAGAGAATAATTTTAAAATAAAAATAAATATTTTATTACAAATATAAGTTATTTAAAAATAAAAAAAATTATTTAAAATCAAAAGAAAATTACATGAGCAAAGTTTAAATTTTAAATCATTTATCTATTCGACACATAATAAAATATTTAATTTTATTTTTAAACAATTTTTTCCACATATTCTTTTGTTAATAACGTATAATTGTTCATGTAAAAAAAAACAACGTAATTGAAATTATTGATTGTTATATCGAAATAATGGAAATTAAATTATTATGAAATAACTCGTTGTAATATAATAGAATTAAATAAATTAATTAAAAAATGTATAAGAAATGGAGAAGTTAAATGTCAATTTATAGTTTCAATGTTATATTACTATCTTAAATTTTCCTTATCGTTTTTATACTAATAGGTTTCAAATTTCAAAGAAAAAAAAATCAAGACTTAGAATCAAATTAGTACATAGAATAAAAAAAATAAAAGACCTATATCAAATCATCTATATCGAGAAAAAAATAGTTTCAACACATTGCAAATAGAAAAATATTTTTAAATTATCGCTGGTTGTCTTCCCTAATACTTGTTAAACAAATCACCATAAATTGTTTCAATTTTAATTTATCAAATTAAGAAAACAATTAAATGTAAAGTTACAATTTTAATGTTCTTGCAAATACAAATCAATTTTAAATTGTCATTTATTGATTTATCATAAAAAAATGTAAATTACTAATTTTCAATTTCATTTTCATTTAATAAGTAAATTAAATTAAATTAAATCAAATTGACATTCTATAAAAATAATTTTATTAGAAATTAAACGAATTAAACTTAATTTGATTAAAATTAAAAAAATTCAAATTAATTTGATTATAATTAGATGAAATAAATTTAAAATAAATTAAATGTTTCTATTTTTTTTTCAAAAATTAAAACAATTTAAACGTATTTGTGAATGTTACAACATAAGATAAATTTACCCTTAAAAATGTAAACCATTATTTGTTTTTATTTTAATTAATTTATTGTATAAATTTATCTTTTCATTATTTATTGATAATAAATATTAATGATTAGCTCTTAATATCAAATTTTATATTTTCAATCATTAATTAATTATTAATATTTATTGTTTTAATTTTTATGTTTACTCATTTATATATTTATAATAGTTGTTTTAGGAGAAAAAATTGTTTTAGTTCAGTATAGTGGCGGATCTTCTTGGGAGCTGAGAGTGATGCTACCTAAAGTTTTGTAACTCCATGTAATTAATGATTTTAGCTTCCAAACATAATGAGTATTTAATATATTTACTTGTATATTTACAATTTTATCCTCCCAACCTCTCCTCAGTTTTGTAACTTTCATATAATTTATGGTTTTGTTTCTCTTAAACTTAATGATAATTTAATATATTTAAGTATATATCTACAATTTTATCTTTTCAACCTTTCATATTCTTTCTTCCTTTTATATTTATTTATTATTTATTAATAATATATTATTTGGTCCCCTCAATATCAATGGTCAAGATCCACCACTATATATATATATATATATATATATATATGCTTTTATAAAGCTAGATCAATCTAATTTTTCAATAACTAAATGTCAATTATTAAATTTTAAATTTTCCATTTCAAATTGATAACTTAATTTAAACCAACTTCCTCAACTAAATAAAATTAAAGATATTCTTTTCAAAAATATAATATATCTAACCTTACCCGTAACTGTAAAGAGAAATTTATCTTTAAAAATATAAATATAAATTTTAATTTAAAATTTTAATTTTTAAAATGTGTTCATTTTTTTTACTGATAATGATAAGTACTAATTATTCTTTTTTCCATGCTAGTATTATCTTTTAACTATTAATTAATTAATTTATTATCAATATATTTTTTTGCTTAATTTTTTTGTTTCTTAATTAATTTATTTAATCTATATTTACAAAATTAATTTTTATTTTTTGAGTAAATTGTTTACTCCATATCTCTTTATATTCTTTAAATATTTAGAGAGATTCATTTAGCATATTCTAAATATTAATTATATTTAACTTATATCGAAATTTGTTTAAAATATATAAAAAATTGAATGTCTTGTTTTCTATAATAATAATAATTATTATTTAAAAGATTTTGCTATGTATATTTAACAGTCATTAGTATTAATAAAAAAATTAAATGAATTTATAAAACTAGTTATACGTCAAAATTATTATAACATTATAAAAAAAATTTAGTACAAATCACCGTAACTTTAATTTTCAATAAACGAAGATCAATAAGTGTTACTTTCAAATTTTCATGATATATCTTAATTTTATATAATAATAGAAGAACAACATTACAATATCTATATATATATATATATATATATATATATATATATTTTGTATAATACATATTATTTTTTAAAAGAGAGTAATAATTTTAAAATAAAATTTATACTTTGATAACTTTAAGTATTATACCCTCTAATAACATATTTTCCACTTTTCATTCCTAATGCAATGATTAGAAAATATTTTCAAAATTGGTACAGAGAACTGTATAACTTGACTACTTCGAAATTATAATATACTCTATTTATATGCTTTATAAAATAAATAGTTTTTGAACTTTTATTGATATTTTTATGTAGTTTTTTTAAAATTAGTATACAAAATTTTCAATTATTTCAAGATCCTTAGTTCCAATACAAAGTTATATGCATGTATAAATTTGCTTCCTACAGATTTGAAGGGCCCAACCCAAGACGTGTTATGGATTGAAGAAATCCCAAAACCCGCCATCAACGGAAACTCGAAAAAGCCCTTCGAAAAAACCTTCTTTCATTTCATTTCTTTCCTTGCACTCTCATCCCATTCAAACCTTCCGATCCCAACTCTCTCTCTCTAACCCATCCTGCATTCTCTTCTCCAAACCCCAGTCATGTATGGCGGTGGTCAGTGTTCATTATTTTCTTCTCTCTCCCATTCAAATTTTTTACAATACCGGATTTTCGTTTTTTTTTTCTAATATTCTTTTTTTTTTCACAGACGAAGTATCAGCTATAGTCATAGACCTGGGTTCACACACATGCAAAGCTGGTTACGCTGGCGAAGATGCTCCCAAGGCCGTTTTCCCCTCTGTAAGTGTCTCTTTCAACTGTGGCCTACCCTCCACGTAATCGAAATTGAAATGCGCGTCTGTTTTAGATGTCTTCAACTGTGGCCAACATGTATTTTTTTTTTTTAAGTGCATTTTATTTCACATGGTTTCTCAAGCCTTAAACACCCTAACGAGAGTTTTAATTTCATATAATGATCAAAATTTTGGACCGAACTTGTAAATGCAAACTTTTGGGCTGAAGCAACACACATCCCTGTTTTTGAGGATGATATTGTAGGTTGACTTTTCCATATTTTTATCAGCTATATCATTTTTATTATTATACTTCAGTTAATGCTCTGGATTTTTCCCCTGTAATAATGAACGGGTCACTAACATTGATTTATCTCACTCCTGATAAAATCAACAATCAATAATACATGCATATGCATAACAAATCATGCATGTATTTAAATATCAAAATTTGATTTTCTCATAGATAATACATAATATACATTTACCATCAACATGTTCCTTTGGAGGTAGTGAATAGCAATAACTATTGCTGTTTGATCTTAACTGTTGTATTCATGAATAACATATTGTGTGTAAGGGATATTCACAAAATTTATAGGACATACATAGTTACATGTAGTGATTGTTTATAGCTTTGATATTATTTCGCATGGTTTATGTAGGTTGTTGGTGCAATTGATCAAATGGACATTGATGGACCTGTTGACTCTGACGAGAACAATGGATCTGCTGCGGATTTACAAAACAATAACAAAAATCATGAATCTGACAAGAGCAAGGGAAAGTGCAAACTTTATGTAGGATCTCAGTCACTGGGATACCGCAGAGACTTTATGGAGGTATTAAAAATATCTGCACTATTAGGTTTTAATTAATAATTATAAATTATTTGTTTTTGATAATTTATCTGTTATGCTGATCAGGTGGTTTCACCGTTGAAGAATGGAGTTGTTGTTGACTGGAATATTGTTGACAACATATGGGATCATGCTTTGAGGTTGTTGCTGATTATTAAATCTGTATAATCTGAAATGAAGGATCAATATTTTCTTTTCTTCTTCTTTTTGGGTGGTATACAGGATCATCATTTTCTTGATATATCATATGCTAAGGTCCTAGTTAGGAAGCTCATGATGGTTCTTTTTATATGCAGTGGTCCCAAAAATTAGTTAACTTTTGTATATATAGAGAGTAAACGGGGAATACTTGTGTGGTTCAGATATCCTTTTATTTATGCTAGGACAAATGTTTACACTAATCTCACTTTATGTTTACCCATCCATGTTGCATGTATGATATTGTTTTTCCATTCGTGACAAGTATTGTTCTCGTATGTATCACTGGTTTTTCAGGGAATGCCTCCTAGTTGATCCTAAAGAGCGTCCAATGCTACTTGCCGAGCCATGTTCCAACACTCAAGAACAGAGAGAAAGGTATTCTGGCAACAATATCCACCACCCTCCTATTTAACCTTTTGGTTTTTAGGCCTTTAGATGTATACATTATTATATTATCTTATGCTCAGTAATAAAGTTTGGTTCAATTCTTCACAGTTTAGATTTCATTTTCTCATTTCTTTTTCTCTCTGTATCAGGGCAGCAGAACTTATGTTTGAAAAATATAAAGTACCAGCGTTGTTTTTGGCGAAGAATGCTGTAAGTTGTATGGTCTTTACTGCTCTGTTCATATCTTAATTTTAAAAGCGAGCTGCAACAACAAACTAAGGATAAAAAATGCATTTTATATAGTTGGCAAGAAACCATTATTTCGTAAACTAGTTAATTAAGGAGTCTTTCTTGACACCAGGTTCTCACATCTTTTGCATCAGGGCGTGCTACTTCATTAGTTGTTGATAGGTATGAGACTTTGAAGTTGATGACAATTTGGTTCTGTGTTGATATTAATGCTCAATACAGTTTCCAAACTGCTTTCTTATGAATATGGTTTGAAAGATAGTGCAATACATTGTCTTCCTTTTCTTTGTAGCATGCAATTAAGTTTTGTTGTCACTTTACTTCAAATTTATTCATTGTATTTGTAGTTGATATGCCACATCACAATACTACATTTCTGATGCGTAGTTTTCTTCATTATTTCAAAACTCAGTGGTGGTGGATCAACTACAGTTGTTCCAGTGCTGGATGGTTATGTTCTTCAAAAGGTATTGTTTGCTGTCCTGGCAAAATTGAAATCATATATTTGATGACATGGCCATTTTTCAACATTCTTATTGTATTTAGTTTGTTATTTAAGCCTCCAGTTTTATTAGTTACACTTTTCTTTGTGTGAATTATTGTTCCTAAAGTTTTTTTTTTTTATTCAAAATTATCACTAGTTGATTAGTGTTTTAAGTAAGTCATTAATATATTCCTTAAAGATATTTAATATGATGTGATAAATTATCTGATTTTCTTTTGCTGACCAAGAAAAAATATAGTGAAAGTAATGTTTAAAATTTTTTGACAATAATTGGAGATTTTCTAATTGTATATTTACGATTACAATTATTTTTAGTATGTAAGAAAATTGTTAATTTGTTTTAGTTTTTCACCTTTGTATGAAGATAGATTATAAATGTGGCATTGCCAAAATAATGTGATTATTTGTCTTTTTAGTGTATCTATTTAATTTTTGCTTTAGTTACTGTTGTGGCTACAAAGCCCTCGTAACTGTCTTCTTGGGTAATTTTAGGAGGCCCTCCTAGTGGCGGTAGTGCTAGATGGGTCATGATGTCTGACTACTTAATTCAATGTTTACAAAAATATATAACATAATTAAATTGTGAAACATAGAGTAAATAGTAACTATACATTTGCGGCAGGCACTAATGCCAGTTCTACGTTGGTAAGTTTGAAATTTCGGTATGCAAGTTCCATTTAGTTTCATGGATGACTATCAATATTAATGTTTCTTCATCTGTCTGTGCTTGATATCTTACATACTCTTTTCTTGATATATAACTTCGAAGGATACTTATTGTATTTTAATTGTAGCCTTGTATTTTGTCTTTAATGTTTATTTAAGTTTCCTTTGTCTGCTTATGTTTTTATTCATGTCTACAATAGGCAGTGATAACTTCTCCTATTGGAGGAGAATTTCTAACAGATTGCTTGATGAAAAGTTTGGAAGGCAAAGGTATCACAGTGAGTGACAAACATTATCTATTTTTCTTGTCAAGGGTCATCTCAAGTAAAGTAGCTATATTTACACTTACTTTTTATTTTGTTAGACAAGACCTCGATATTCATTCAAGAAAAAGGAAATACGACCTGGAAATCTTCAGGTATCTTATATTTTCATTGTAATTTTTAACACTTCTCAGTAGCGAATCGTCTCTTGTTTCATCTGATTTTGCCTAATCCTTAATGCTTTTTCCCTTGAGTTTTTAATGTTTGCTATGTCTGGGTGTCAATCTGGGAGTGTTATATTCCACTGTTAGGGCTTCAACTTTGTGGTAGAACTATCATGACATGGAATAACGATTCCATTTTCATCTATTCAAGCCTGATGGTCACTCTTGATCTTGAACTTCATTAATCAATTAATTGTTCAAGTTTGATAAGAATGGCACTATTGGTTATGGTACATTTCTGGGATGATAAATGTACATCCAGTTTACTTTCTTGCTTGTTCATATCTAATTCTATGGACTAAAAAATGTTATTCAGCTTCATACTATTACATTTAAGCATGCTTCAAATAATTATTGCAGTCAAATGCACAATGGAGTGTGATCTTTATTACCTGTGTTTTTTCTGATTCACACAGACTGTAGACCTTGATTTCCCACATACAACAGAAAGCTACAAACTCTACTCCCAGGTAAGTATTCTGGCCACATTTTCTTTTCATGTTATATCTTGGTTTCTTGCTAACTGTTTATTGTGACAGAGGGTTATTGTTAGTGACATCAAGGAATGTGTTTGCCGAACACCAGATTCTCCATATGATGGTTTGTATCAGCGTTGTAGTTTCAGATAATATTTTGACTTTTGAGCATTTTTGTTCTAGTTCTTTGTATTCTTTGTGGGACATATACAGAAAAATGCGTTACTTATGGTGGCTCTTTTTTATGGCATTAGCTCTTTGGTGGTAATATTTTGCTTGAAAATTGTTAGAATATTTATTAAATCTATATGTAATCATTAAATCGTAGTAGGGGGTAGTGTGTTGGAAACACCTACCTACTGTCCTACTGTTGTACCTAGTTTTGTACCTAGGTGTCTATATTCTCCTATATCAAATTTTTCATTAGAAATAGAAGATGATTAAGAGGGCTAATCAAGCCCTCCAAACTATATTTTCCTGGGTATCAGAACAGGTTGATCCCGCTCTGTTTGTCTCAATTATCTTCGGAGCCACTGTTCGTTGTCGTCCGCCGTCACATTCATTTGGTGACCATTGGATCTAGATCACCTCTCTAAGCGACGACCAACCCTGTCGGTCTTGGAAGCTAGTTCCCTCCCACGCGCCTAATCAAAATCGGCGCATTCAGGCGCGTGTCACCCCCACGCCGCCTTCTCTGTGTCTGAACGTTGTTGCGCCACCTCCGTGGGTATCGTCGGAGCCTTCCCTTCTTATTCTAACCCTCAAAACTCATTTTGGCTATCAGAGCCAACCTAACGAAGGTCACCTTAGGGGTCTCTCTGCCCTAGTTGTTTTCTTGCTCTCTATCAACAGAAATGGCTACCGGAGCTATTGTTTCATTGTTTGGAGGTCCTACCATTACTTCTGAGAAACCAAATGAAAAAATTACCTTTCGTGAGCTGCATCTGTCGAAATATGGTTCCTTGGCCAAGGTCATCATGACTACCTTGAGAAAGATGGAAGTCATGTCCCTCCTGAAAAGGCTGATCAGTGGAAGCAAGTTGATTTCCAGTTGTGTTGTCCTGCTATGGCAAACTGTGGAACCAAGGCTTTTGATTTCCCTTAGAGCGTTTAAAACTTGCCACCTTTTTTGTAAGAAAACTCAAGACATTTATGCAAATTATATTCAACGTTTCTATGATTCTGTCAACAGACTTGCGACGCAACTTACAAACCTTACCAAAAGATCGTCTTCACCATTAGGACCAACTTTAACGGTATAAACCCATTGACACGCAATTGCCTTTTTTTCAAGTGGGAGGGAAACTAACTCCCAAGTATTACTCTGGTCAAGAGCCTACATTTCTACAATCATGACTTGTCGCCATCCAGGATGATCAAGTGCTTCCGTCACATTTTTGGAAATGGGAACAAAAGACACTGAGGATAGAAAAGAATAATAAGAAGGCGATAATTGATGATAGCTAAGAAAATTATAAGTAGGATGTGGGTTTTGAATGGAATGAGTACCTTTTCTAAGAGCAATGGGTCGGCTTGAATCTTCTTCATCAAGAGTGTGGTATTGGGTGACGATGGAGAAGAGTTTGAAGTAGAGGATTCACTTGGTTCTTGGATAACTGAACTAGTTATTTGGGTCTCATGGATATCAATAGCATGAGGACTGTGACCAACACTAGGATTAGCAGAGATACTGGAAGTAGTGGACTCGACTAATGGTATTGGGAGGACCTGCTGAATGACATGTACATCTTGAACGGATGAAGGAGTTTGTTCAAAGAATGTAACATTAGCAGACAAATAGTACTACTTGGTTTCAGGAGAGTAATACCGGTACCCCTTTTGAAGTCGAGAATAGCCCAAGAAGACACATTTGATTGCACGAGCAGACAATTTGTCCAACCTTGGAGACATGTCATGAACAAAACATATACAACTAAACACATGGGGAGAAATGTGAAAGAGAGAATCATTTGGAAAAAGAATAGAGAAAGAGACCTTATTATTGAGAGAGGAGAATGACATCCTGCTAATAAGAAAGCATGCAGTTAGGATGTCAAGATGACTATTATCCGTCTCATTTTTGCCATGGCAGCAATTAGTCATTGGCCACTCCATCAATTGGATATCAAAAATGTCTTTCTACGTGGTAACCTTGCAGAAGAAGTATTCATGGAGCAACCTCCTGGGTCTGTTGCTCAGGGGGAGTCTGGTAAGGTTTGTAAGTTGCGCCACTCTCTCTATGACCTCAAACAATCACCACGTACTTGGTTTGGTAAATTCAGCTTAGTTGTTCAAAAATTTGGGCTAAAATGCAGTGAAGCAGATTACTCAGTTTTTTATTGTAATACCCATCTTAAGAAATGTATTTACTTGATAGTCTATATTGATGATATAGTCATTACAGGAAATGATATGGCGGGAATATCTCAATTGAAGGAATACTTATGCAAAAATTTTCAAACCAAGGATATTGGGAGTCTTAAATATTTTTTGGGCATTGGGGTAGTTCAGTCAAAAGATGAGGTTGTTATCTCTCAAAGGAAGTATGCTCTTGATATCTTACAAGAGACAGGTATACTTGACTGTAGGCTAATAGATAATCCTATGGACCAAAATAAAAAACTAATGACGGAAGAAGGTGAATCATTCCCTGATCTAGAAAGATATAGGCGACTAGTTGGAAAACTAATTTATCTTACTATTACGAGGTCTGATCTATCTTTTGCAGTAGGAGTGATGAGTTAGTTCATGCAGGCCCCATGTATTGGTCATTGGAATGCTATCATTTGTATTTTAAGATATCTCAAAAAGGCTCCAGGACAAGGTTTACTATTTGAAGATAAAGGAAATGTCCAAGTCTCTGGATACTGTGATGCTGGTTGGGCAGATTCCCCAATTGATAGACGCTTTATTACGGGATATTGTGTTTTCTTTGGAGGAAATATTATCTCATGGAAAAGTAAGAAGCAAAATGTAGTGGTCATATCAACTATTGAAGCTTAATACAGGGCAATGATGTCTCTTACTTGTGAATTTATATGGGTAAAACAATTCCTTTGAGAGCTTAATTTTTGTGAAGTCCAAACCATGAAAATGTATTGTGATAACAAAGCTGCTCTCCACATCGTATCAAATCCAATATTTCATGAAAGAACCAAACACATAGAAATTGATTGTCATTTTGTTTGGGAAAAATTATTTTCCAAAGAAATTTGTACTGAGTTTGTTGGATCAAATGACCAACTTGCGGATATGTTGACCAAGTCCTTAAGAGGACCTCGGATTGAGTTCATTTGTTCCAAGCTTGGTACGTACAATTTGTATGCTCCAGTTTGAGGGGGAGTGTTAAAATAGTTATTAAATCTATGTGTAATCATTAAGTTAGAATAGGGGGCAGTGTGTTGAAAACACCTACCAACTGTCCTACTATTGTAACTAGTTTTGTACCTAGGTGTCTATGCTCTCTTGTATCAGATTTTTCATTATAAATAGAAGATGATTAAGAGGGATAATCAACCCCTCCAAACTATATTTTCCTGTTTCTTAATGTTAAGTAAAATAACAAGTTATTCTATTCTTCAATGATTGATATTAACTATAACCCTATTATTGTATTTGTGGAAAATCAAATAGTATTTTAGGAAAGAATAAATTAGAAAATTTGTAATCGCACCTTTTTGTTATAATGTTAAGGGAAGAGGAGATAGAAAGGGTGAAAACCGTTCTTAGTAAGCTAGAAAAACCTACAGGTATGTGTTCTTTGGCATACTCAGGTAAGTTTCCACCTTCTTTTGAATTAAATGTCTCAGATACGCCTTTTAACCATTATTGGATATTGGACTCTGGAGTCACAGATCACATGACACCATTAGCCAAACACTTCTCCACATATTCCCCATGTCCCAGCAACAAGAAAATTGCCACAGCAGATGGAACCCTTATAACTGCAGCTGGTCAAGGAAATATCCAAATCAATCCTTTAATAACCTTAAAAGATGTTCTTTATGTCCCAAAGCTGTCCACGAACCTAGTGTCTATACAAAAACTTATAAAGGATTTGTCATGTAAAGTGTTTTTTTCAACGATCATTGTGTATTTCAGGACAAGGATTCGGGGAGGATGATTGGACATGCTAGAGAATGGAATGACCTTTATTATTTCAAAGATCCAAGTCTGCCCAGCAAGAATAGAATCTCTCACTCCTTCATGTCTGAATCCTTGATGACCAACAGAGAAAAAATCATGTTTTATCATTGTCGGTTGGGACATCCATCTTTTGGAGTGATCAAAATTATGTTTCCCTCTCTGTTTACCAAGTTAGATGTTGAGAGTCTTCATTGTTAGGTGTGTGAACTTGCTAAGCACAAGCGTATATCTTTTCCAATAAGTAATAGAATTAACAATTTCCCTTTTTATCTTGTTCATACTGATGTATGGGGACCTTCTAATATTCCAAATGTATCTGGTACTCGATGGTTTGTCACCTTTATAGATGACTGTACAAGGGTCACTTGGGTTTTCCTACTTAAACAAAAATCAGAAGTCAGTTCTGTCTTACTAAACTTCCACTCCATGATAAAATATCAGTTTGGTCTTAATATTAAGAGGCTTAGGTCAGATAATGTCAAAGATTACTTCAATCATGTCTTTAATTCTTTTTGTCAAAAAGAAGGTATAATTCATAAGTCCTCTTGTGTCAAAATACCACAACAGAATGGGGTCGCAGAGAGGAAAAATGGACATCTATTAAATCAGACTCGGGCATTGTTGTTCCAAAAAAGTGTCCCAAAAAATTTATGGGGGAAACTGTCCTTACAGCAACATACCTTATCAATAGACTACCCTCCAGGGTCTTAGGATCAAAAAGCCCTATGAAAGCTTTGTCGTCTTTCTATCCAAACTTGTCTACTACAAATAATCTTAAACCAAGAGTTTTTTGGTGCATCTCATATGTCCATATTCATAGTATAGACAAGGGTAAACTTGATCCTAGAGCCTTAAAGTGTGTCTTTGTTGGTTACTCACCCACTCAAAAAGGGTATATGGAGACCTTGAAAAAGAAATTTATATGGAGATACTTCCGAGATATGGTAAAGATGTTGTTGCCAACACTGTTTGTAAGTTGAAAAAGACATTATATGGGCTAAAACAGTCCCCCCGTGCATGGTTTGGCAGGTTTACTAAAGCTATGACAGGTCTGGGTTACAAACAAAGCCAAGGGGATCATACTTTGTTCTTTAAACATTCCAAGTCAGGGGGAGTAACAATATTATTGGTGTATGTGGATGACATAATATTAACTGGAGATAATAAAGAAGAGCAGCAATTGTTGAGTCAATGCTTAGACAAGGAATTTGAGATCAAGACCTTTGGAAAACTAAAATATTTTTTAGGAATCGAAGTTGCCTACTCCAAGAAACGGATATTTATATCCCAGCAGAAATACATCACTGATTTGCTCAAGGAAACTGGCAAGACAGCTTGCAAACCTGCTAGTACCCCATTAGAACCAAACCTAAAGCTTGGAAATGCAGAAGAAGATGTTGTTGAAAAAGATATGTACCAGCGATTAGTGGGCAGACTTATATATTTGTCGCATACCAGGCTAGATATTGCCTATGCAGTGAGTTTAATTAGCCAATTTATGCATAACCCAAAGGAGACCCATTTACAAGCAGCCCACAGAATTTTACAGTACCTTAAAGGAACTCCAGGAAGAGGGATTCTATTTAAAAGGAATGGTAATGTGAAGCTTGAAGCCTATACTGATGCTGATTATGCAAGGTCAATTGTGAATAGGAGGTTAACTACAGGATATTGCACCTTTTTTGGAGGAAATCTTGTGACTTGGAGAAGCAAAAAGCAGGGTGTAGTGGCTCGGTCCAGTGCTGATTCTGAGCCATGGCACAAGGTATATGTGAGTTACTATGGCTTAAAATCATCTTAGAAGACTTGAGGATAAAATGGGAAGAACCTATGAAGCTCTATTGTGATAATAAGTCAGCAATCAGCATAGCCCACAACCCAGTACAAGATGATAGAACAAAACATATTGAAGTAGACAGACACTTTATCAAAGAAAAGCTTGATAGTGGCTTAATATGCACTCCATATGTGTCCTCTCAATACCAAATTGCAGACATTCTTACCAAGGGACTGAGCTGCCACAATTTTGAGAAGATTGTATTCAAGCTGGGAATGGAAAACACCAATTCACCAGCTTGAGGGGGAGTGTGGGAAATCAAATAATATTTTAGGAAAGAATAAATTAGGAAATTTGTAATCTATACATATTTGAATAATTAGGAATAATCCCATAAATCAAGGGATCCTAGAATAAAATAGAGTTATTATATTTCCTAAAATAGCTTAGGTCTCTTGTATATATATATTGTATGATCTCTTTGTATTAAAATAATAAAATAAGATTTCATTTAATCTAATTTTCCAGAGTATTATTTCATAATGAGTACTTCATCGTGATTTTTTGATGTTTTGATGTAATGAGGGCATTGGTTAAGGAAGCCAAAGTAGAAAATGTTTATTGAAAAATAAAGCATTTACTAGGTACAACACAGATATAGTTTAATTTATTTAATTAATTGGAAACGTTTACTTGTGTGTATGATTAACTGCTCCTTATTATCAAAGTCGTATTTTATATCTACGATAGTTTTACCTTTCTGTTTACATCAAATTTCATTATTATCAGATTCCACATATGACATGATACCCATTATTATTCTTTTTCAATGGCAGAGAGTGCATATTCTAACATTCCTATGACTCCATACGAGCTTCCTGATGGCCAGTAAGTCCAACATTACATGTATTGAGATACTTGGGATTTCTTTTAATTATTTGAATGTTCTTCTTCCATTCTTGTTTCAGTTATCTTCTGTGTATCTACAAATATAATTTTTTATCTGAAGTTTTATTGCTTTTTCTACAATAATCATTTTAACTTTGATGTCACGGATGTCACAGGATTATTGAAGTTGGATCAGACAGATTCAAAATTCCTGATATTCTTTTTAATCCATCTCTAGTTCAGGTGTGTGGCTTTCTTGCTTGGATATTTTATTTTGTTCAATGAGATTTTTGTCAGTGTTTTGTGCTTTTACTGTTCAGTTCAGTCAAATTTCCTGTTTGCATCCTGTTTACTGCTTTAATGTAAATTGCAGACAATCCCTGGCATGGAGAGTTTTGCAGAAATTGCTCCTTCAATACGAAATCTTCCCAAAATGGTATTTTTTTTGTAAATTTGAGTGCATTCTTTCTATAAACAGTCAGGACTTTAAATTTTCTTCTCATTGCTCATTATTTTACTGTTTCTTTTGGGTGTGCAGATCATAGAGAGCATTAATAAGTGTGATGTGGACATTCGTAGAGAACTATTTAGTACCATACTGGTAACTTTCATATTGATTTGATGCTCATCCTGTCCCACACCCTTCTTCTTTCTGAGTTAAAGGTACTTGGACATATTTGAAACTGATTCGGTATATTTCACAGCTTACTGGTGGTACAGCTTCTATGCACCAACTAAAGGAACGGATTGAGAAAGACTTGCTGGAGGTGAAATTTACAGAGAAGCACATATTTTATTCAGTGAATGCCAATTTCTGAAATAAAAAATTTTATCGGGTGGTTTCCTTTAAAATATTCAATGTTTTTACTCCTTTCTATTCTAATATTGCCCTTTTGCCACATGGCATCACTACCATATACAGAAAAAGAAATCCACAGAGTGCCAATTTTCTGAATATCATAAATTTTATCGGTTGGTTTCCTTTAAAATATCCAATTCTTAAGATTCTAATAAATTCCCCTTTTGCCACATGCCATCACCTTCATATATAGAAAGACAATCCACTGACTGAAGATTGTTGAAAACATGAAAAACTTAATAGAGAATCAGTGATTGTAAAGACTAGTTATTACAATAGAAGGCTTAAAAAAACTAGAAGGAACACAACCTTGTATTTTTTGCGAAAATTGGAACATATTTATTAGATACCCTCACCGATCAGTATGAGACGATATGTTATTTGCTTGTCAGATATGCTTGATGTTGAAAGAAGTTTTTGGGTTGTAAGCAATTGTGTTTATACTAATATATAAAATAGATGTTTGAGATGTGATTTCTGTTTGAAGGAGTCCCCTCAAGCTGCTAGAGTAAAAGTATTTGCCAGTGGAAATGCTACTGAAAGAAGGTTCAGGTGGGATGTTCATCTATGTCTCTGTCTTTATTTCTCTGAAGTTCACTCGACTGTGACGATATAACGATGAGTTGGTTCATGTTGCAACATCTGCTCCATCTCCCTTCTTTCTTCACAAGTGATTTTCATTTTAACAACGCAATGCAACTTAAGATGATGAATTATGTTTTATACTTGAGAGCCTGTTTACACATTATGTACATTGTCTCCTCTTAATCAAGGTGGTAAATCTCTGCAGTGTTTGGATCGGGGGGAGTATATTGGCTTCTCTTGGCTCCTTCCAGCAGATGTGGTTTTCCAAATCTGAGTAAGTGTTATTGATTGGGAAAAAGTTCAGTTAATCAAGTTCAATCACCTTCACGAAAACTGAATTAAGAATTCTGTTCTCATGTTGGTAGTTTTTTTTAATACAAAGCTAATTCACTTCGCTATGGATAGGTATGAAGAGCAAGGTGCTTCTTATATCCAAAGAAAGTGCCCTTGAGTTTCTAACGGATGTGAATACATGTTTATTACTGACCATTGAGATCCCGGCAATTTCAGGAAGTCCAATGTTGAGTACTAAATTAGTGCCTTGTCAATGAATTGTTCAAATTCACGCCATTCTCTACAGTGCTTAACTAGGCTGATATAACTACTGTCTAGCTTGATACTGAAAGCATGTTTATCTGCTGTTGAGACTGATATAACTATACTATACTGTAACTGGCATAACCTCATTTTCTTTTTTCTGCATCCCCCTTCCCTTATTGTGTAATGAATGGTATTGGAGTCCAACTTTAATTCCTGTGAAGTCTGGATAGTAGATAGCTACTACCTATTGACAGTGTACTAATTGATGCCAATACAGTTATAATATTCGAGATATTAGATGGTGTAAACTTTGTCAAAGCCGAACAGAGTTGTTCCTTACTTTGGTAGAGGCAACTGTAGATGTTACGAGTTACAGCGTGAAAAAACGTATATTAATGTCTACATTAATTTAGAGCTTGACATCAAAGGTTCTTGATATGGGAACAGTCTGCCAGAGGATTCATGGAACTTGAATATAGAAATTTTATTCGGTTAAATATGCTTTTGATCCTGTAATGTTTAAAATATGATTAATTAGTCATTTTTTGTAAATATATGAATTTAGTCTTTTTATTAATTTTATATAATAATATAAATTTATTAAACATTAAATTTAGATATAAAAAATCTAATATCATTTTTTGTATCATTTTTGTTAAGTTAAAAAATTGTTAAATATTAAATTTTAGTATAAAAATAGATTAAACTTGCATATTTTTCTAAGTTAAATGGATTAAAATTACATATTTTTCTATGTTAAAGAATTTTAATCATATAAATTTTAATTTAATTTGAAAAAAAAAACAAAACATACAGAGAGAATTAAAAAATATATTTAATTCAATGTTATTTGTGCAACTCATGCAGTGAAAGAAATATAGAAAATAGTGGACTGTGAGATGCACTTCATGTAATCAAGAGAAAAGATGCAAAGCCTGCTGTATAAAATGCGAAATGAATTGTTGTATGAAGAACATAACTTGGAATAGAAGAATGCACTGCCAAAAAGACCAACTCTTCTCGACACAGGGTAGTCTAATCGTACTAGGAGCTCCTCCTCCTATCAATGTCAAGGCAAATTCCGCTCTTTGCTTTATATAGAGTTGAAGAAATGGAAACAACAAGGGATAACTGGTTATGTTAGGCATGTCATCCGCCTCAAATATTATTACTTTATTATATTATTGAAATATGTAAATATGTTATATATTATAATTTATATTAATTTTTTAATTTATCTAATAAAAAATATTAACAAATAAATAAATACTTAAAAAATATTTATATAATTAAGGATATATTTAAATATATATATATATATATATATATATATATATATATATATATATATATATATATATATATATATATATATATATATATATATATATATATATATATATATATATACACACGATCTGATCCCATAATCTGCAAATAAATCCTTTAACCAGTCTGGGTTAAGACATGAAACTCACCTGTGCTCATTTTTCGATAGTGTCAAACTTCATAATTTATTTAATTTTTTTAAATTTTTCTAGATAAGCAACATTTCATACAGTAAAATATAAATTAATTTTTAATTTTTTTCATAAGTATTTAGGTAAACATTATCTAAATGAGATGTTTATAAATTGATTTTCTAAACACGTGAAAAAAAAAAATCATGTTTTTTTTTTAAATTGTTACTTCTAAAGAGAGAAAGTAAAATAAACGGTTAGGATTAAAGGGAAAAGGAAATTCATTGGGATCAGATAACGAACTGTGGCGCTAAATTAAACTTCGCGTTTCGTTGTTCATGCAATTTCAAGGGAGACGAGCGAGTAATGGCCTCTTATGTATCTCCGTCTTGGTTCATGCTCTCATCCACCGACGCCAAACGCAATCCCTTCTTCTTTGTCCCTAGCTGCTTTAAATTCAATGCTCCCATCGCTTCACAAATCCAATGGCATTCAGATTCATATTCCCGCAGAAACCTCCGTCCAACCCCCGAAATCAAACGTCATTGGGTCGAAGCTTCTGATCAATCTTTGGCGTCTCCGGAAAGATTCAGCGTGGCCTCTTACAACATACTGGGGGATAGAAATGCTTGTCAACACTCGGATTTATACGTAAACGTTCCTTCTCGTTACATCAAATGGGATCGTCGAAAGAAGGTTATTTCTGATGAGCTTCTTGGATGGGACCCTGATATTATCTGCTTACAAGTAACAAACTTTTCACCTACTTTGCATTTCTTCCTATTTGTTACCATTTGTTTTGATAGAGATATTTGATAGGATAGAGAAAAATAAACTTCTACCTTCATTTTAAAAAGTTTCTTTTTGGTCGTGTATTTCTTCGTTAGTTCAAAGTGGTTTTTTGCCAATTTACTTCACAAAATTGGTTGTCAATCTGGTGCTAAATGACAATTTGATTGAAGGATCGATTTGGTACTGTAAGGGACCAAGTAAAAAATCGAATCCTAGGAAACTAAAACCAAAAAAATGTGGAGAGACAAGATGTTTATCTAAACCTACTTAATGATGTTTATTAGAGTTGAGCTTACATATTAACTTGAAACATTCAAAATTGTATTGTCAGGAGGTGGACAAGTATTTGGAACTCTCAGACGTTATGGTTAAAGCAGGATATGCTGGATCTTATCAGGTATATTTTCATTTCCTTTTCAGAATTCTGATTTCATTTTGTTTTGACTGACTGATATCTTCTCGATAAACTTTAGTTCATACAAAATAAATAAAGATTAGTTTATTTGAGTTGTATCATTAGTCATGAAACATGTTGAAGTCTCTATACTGTGAAATTTGTCATTATCCTGTACATAGGAGTGCTGCACATTTATATATTGGTGTGTGTGATTATTGAAAACCTAATGAATTGTGTACATGACTGTAGAGACGCACTGGGGATTCAGTTGACGGTTGTGCCATGTTTTGGAAAACTGATAAGTAATCTTTTGATTGCTCAATTTGGCTTGTGAGATAAAAAATGATGGATCTAATCCCTTCACTTGATTACTTTTTCATTATTTTTGTCTGTTTGTCAGGTTCCGGTTACTAGAAGGAGAGAACATTCAATTTAAGGACATTGGTCTTCGTGATAATGTTGCCCAACTTTCAGTTTTTGAGGTATCCGTTCTTTGACGTCGGTTCCTTTCTTTTAATGATATGACAATGGTTGGTTCTTCCCTTTTATTGTTTTAAAGCATTGCTCATGTTGCTGCATTATACTCCCTCCTGTCCTTAAAATCTCATCAGACAATTGAATACGTGGAAGGTTTCCATCCAAGTTACAAATTGGAAAAATGGGGCCCAGTCCACCTGAAAGAGACAAAGGACAAATTTTGCGAGTCCTATCCATATGAAGCCGACGAAACCATTTTAGCCTAATTTAAAAGAAATTAAAAAGTAAAAATGTATTTTTTAAATTTAAGTGACATAAATAAAATTATTTATATATAATTATTTAATATGTAAATTTATTATATATACATATAGGACATATTAATAAAATAATATTATTTTTAATTTTTAAAATTATAATTATTATTTTTAGAAACAGACGTGTTTAAGTCTATAGGACATATTGGAATAAAATTGATCATTTAGGCCACTATTTTTTCAATCTAATTTAGTCCATTTTATGGTCTATTTCATTTCATCGGGCTGTCTCCTATTCTTCATTCTTCTTCTCACCCTATTCACTAAAATACTTTATTTTTCTTTATCATTGCAAATTCTTGGTTCCTAACAGATACTGCCTATTCTAAGCTCTTTGGCCACCCCCTTGCTTTTTATAATGTGCCATCTTACATAAGTTTGAACACAAACAGTACCCTTCATTGCGCTAGTGTTATTTTGTAATAAATATTGTCCTATTGCATTTTCAATTGGTCATCATTTGTATTTCTAACTTCATCCTGTACAGGCAGATGTGTGAATCTTACTCAAGAAGACTGTTAGTTGGTAACATCCATGTACTTTACAACCCAAACAGGGGAGAAGTTAAATTAGGACAAGTAAGTGTTTTATTTTAACATATTTACCCACTCCAAGAAAATGTTACGTTAAATGTCTTTCTTCTATTATAGCTTATCATTCGGAAATTAACATATATGCCGAATTTTTATTTTAAATTTAAAAACATATTCAAGAAGTCTGTTTATTAAGAGAGATAATTTTTGAAATAATTGAATATGGTTTCAAGCATTAATTGCTCACATACTGTTTGTATGTGTTGGTCATCTTTCCACAGTTCCTTCCTCTTTTTTATCAATTGACCAATTTTCTTCTCAGTTGCTCAATTTTTCATCTAGTAAAAAACTACTAGCAATGATCAGTTGAGATAACTACTAACGCCTAATCCATAAAGAGCTTGCTTATGTGATCTATAAGAAATACAGTCGACTAGGTATTTCACCTTATTTTTCAATAGTCAAGTCAGATTTGCTTTCCTTGAACTTGCTAATTGAAATTGAAATATTTAATATGGCAGATTCGTTTTCTCTCATCAAGAGCACAGTACCTCTCAAAGAAATGGGGTAATACCCCTGTTGTGCTAGCTGGTGATTTCAATAGTACTCCTCAGGTGCCATATTCCAGAAAACAGATAGAATTTGTCATTTAATTTGTGTTCTCCATTTTCTACATGCTGATTTCTTTTTATTATTGTTCATCAACAGAGTGGAATATACAAGTTTTTGTCATCGTCTGAGGTATCATTATATCATATTTTATTGGTTTTGCAATTTCATTTTATATTGGACATGATAATAAGATTGTTCATGCCATGAATAAAAGCTAGTAGTATATGTTGAAGACGCTCACTTGTAACTGGGTGTTGTTTGCAAAATTGCAGATTAATGTAAAGCTGTATGACAAAAAGGAATTATCTGGACAGAAACGTTGTCGTCCTGCACAAGTTTTAGGCGAGAGTAAAGAAACAGTTGGTCCAGTTGTCACCCTAGATGGGTACTTTTCCATTTCTTCTGCTAATTACGAAACACTTTGGATGATTTTTAAAACAATCACTTACAGAAGAAAATAGAGTGAATTAATGGTTAAAGTGAATAAAACTTCTTGCACAGATATAATAATCTGTGCACCTCAACTTTTTCAAAAGCTTGTGAAAGAGACTAAAAAAACAAAATTAGGTGGTTTAAGGATTTTATTGGGTTTATTATATATTATTTGACTACTGATATTTTGACATCGTAAAAATATAAAATCATCCATTCAACAATTCATTTTTAAATTTTTATATTATTATATATTTATCTTATTTCATTTTCTCTCCATCAATAAATAAAAATAATATTTCAAGATTGTTTATAAAATATTTGTAAACATTCAGTGTCAAAAAAATCTTTTCTCGTATCCTTTTATTATGGACTCCTATTTATTATAGGGTTTGCACTCTGTACTGATCTTCAATGAAGAAATATCAGAATTTTTATAATGGTAGTACTAGTAGCACAGCAGTAGCTACTGTTTTGATTTCCAAATAGCTTCCTCATCTAAAAATGTCTTAACAGTAAAGTTTTACAATTGCAAAGCTAAAATGCAGGTGTGCATGTATAGTTTATATTTATAAGGCAGAGAATTCGTTTGATTTAATCAGTCATCACAAACTCAAGCTGACAGGGTATGCGTGTAATGACCTCACTTTGATTACAATTTTGAGATGAGATAGTTTTTTATTTTCTCCACTATTGCTTTTTAGTGTTTGTTTTACATATTGTTTAGAAAACTTTTCATCCTTTTCCATTTCTGTCCACTTTTATTATTTTCTTAAGAATATTTCTACTGATGTTTTCTAATACCTTTCATGAATATGAACTTAACACTTTGCATGAGACATATATTTTTATGGAAGATTTAGTGTGCTATAAATTAAACATTTATGACCTTTTTTCTTTCTCTTGGGAGATTTTTATATTATTGACCTTGTGCTATCACTTTCTCATCTTCTGCTAATTGCAAAGAATGCATGTTTCTTGAAATTTCTTATGCTATTCAGTTTTATCTCAGTATGATGCTCTCACCCTACTAGATGCAGCTTGATAAAATACTGGACAGATGAAGAGATAAAAATAGCAACTGGAGATTCTCAGCGTCATTTGGCTGTGCATCCATTGAAGCTGAATAGTTCGTATGCCACAGTTAATGTACCTAATCATTCTCTTGCAACCTATTATTACTATATGATTTCCACATTTAATCCCCCTGGTCCCGTGCCAACAAAAGTAAAGTTGTAAAGCTTTTCAGGGTTCAACAAGTACACGGGGATTTAATGGTGAACCCTTGGCAACTTCCTATCACTCAAAGTTTCTTGGCACTGTAGATTACTTATGGTAATAACACGCATATTTTGGTTGTTAAAAATATTTTGGCTACGGCCTTAGTTATTGCAATTACCAAACTATAAAATTGACTGCACTTGATGCAGGTACACGGACGGTATTGTACCTACAAGAGTCCTTGATACGGTTTCAATAACTGATCTCCTAAGGGCCGGTAGCCTCCCATGCAAGGTATTCCTGCTCGGCTTTTTCAACTTAAGTTCAAGTTAAAATTCTTCAAGCATATTGAATTGCCCAAGTGCTTCAGTATGCACTTGGAAGGGATTGTGAAGGTTTCCAGATTGTATGATGGAAAAGTAACTAGATTGTTAATAAATTTAAGGTTTAAGATGTGAAGGCTGCTCAGAGGTTGACCTATAATTTAGAGGCTCAAAGAAATTTATCTTTGTGGGCTCTTAAACCACCCACCTGAATCCCACAAAACAAAAGATTAGGATCGAAGGTTGAAACTTAAAGTTGTTGTGTGGTTGTCTTGAGCATTACGATCGTGATTTTGTAGAGGTGCTTTTGAATTGAAATAGGTGTAATAGATCTAAAAACTTCTCTAGGATCATCTTGACAAACTACATCGTCTACACTAAGCACTTTTGTTTCACCTGGAATTCAAATGTTTAAACGTAGTTTTTCTCCATCTAACAGTCTTTTCCTTTCATAAATAGAAAGTGGGAAGCGACCATTTGGCCTTGGTTTCTGAATTTTCATTCTCAGTTACCAACAATGAACCTACAGACATAGTGGCGGCAGCAGCAGCAGCAGCACCAGCAGCTATAGTAGATATTGAAGAGCCTAACAATCAGCAGTCATGAGAAAATAGCTCAGCGTTTTTGTGGGGTAACAGGTTTTTGCTTTCATTGTTTACTTATACTATATTTTAAACGAAAAATTTGGTTTTGCTCAAATTTGTTGAAATAGGTTATTATTTTAGAATAATGGTTCAATTTCAAGTTCTTGAAAGAATTTCTCAATGTACCATAAGAACTTGATAATTCGATGTGCTACTAAAAATCTTAATAGAAATTGAATTATTGGTGACAGTGAGTTTGGCTTGTATTTTAAAAACAATTAATCTTAATATTTTGGATAAATTGCAATTACCTTGAGATCATCTTAAGTAATATTCAAACTCCCTCTGATTTTGAAATAGACACTTACTTTCATCATGACTTTAATAAAATGACACTTGTATTCTTTTTAGTTTTTAAATCGACATTTATATCTCCTATTGTTGAATGATTGATCATCTTTATATTTTTTAATGAAGTGAAACCCATGTCTTATATTGTATTTAAAAATAATAAATTCATTGAAACTTAAATAAAATATAAAAGATAAAAAACAATATAAAAGAAATTGAAAGATTTAATTTTAGGAAAACTATAAATCCATTCCTAATATTTTATTAGATGACGATGGGCATGCTGAAGAAATTATCTGTGTAGAGGGAACTTGTGTTTGATCCCTCACATTGCAAGAAATTTCATTGGGCCAACAATAATCATAGTATGTCAAGTGAGATTAGTTTAAGAATTAATGAACTGAGAGAAGCTTATCCTATTTTAATTTTAAAGTAAACATTCTTATACTATTAATTAATAAACTAATAGTAATAAGTTAATTTGTCTCGTTTGTATTTTATTTCTATTGATATTTTCATTTTTATTAAAATTCTATAAAAATAAAGTTAATGAAGTTATATGTTTTTAGTTATTTGTATATTTTACATTAACTAATATTTTCTTGAAAATATAACATTTTATATTTTATAGGATATTCTATAATGTACTATCAGAATAATTTTTATCCTATTTTTAATAAATAATTTGAGTGTTTTTAGTCATAAATTTTTTTAAAAATTTTAATTTTAATATTTTTTTAAAGTTTTATTTAATATGATTTTTTAAATAAAATAAGAAAAGTGATTATGGAGGTGAACATAATTTGTTAAAACTTATTTATTTATAAATTTGAAGGAAATGAATGTTATTTAATAAAAATAATTAAAAAAATATTTTATAAAAGCAATGACTAATATAATTTTTTTTAATTTTTTTTATCCGATTTTATATTTACATTTAAATTTTAAAATATTAACATTTTAAAATATTTTTTCTTTTTTCATTATATATAAAATTATTTTTTATTTTTACTATTTTTATTTTTTTTCTATCCACTTTTTCATTTTTTATTTTCTATATTAATTAATTCATTAAATAACAGCTACCTTTCATTATGTATATTACTTTCATCTCTCAATATTTTTAATGAATTTGAAAAATACAATTTTTTTTAATATTTTATATAAATATTATTAATAAATAATATTATTTTATTTATAATCTATCTTTATTAAATTTTATTATATAATGTTTTTTAAATTTTATTTATTTATTTTTATTAAATTTTATCTTAATAAAATAATTATACTTTAAAAATAAAAAATAATAATAATTAAAATTTTATTACTTTAAACTAATTAAAAAATTTATCTTATTAAATATTTTTTTATAAACTATATATTTCATATTTTTAAATATTAATTTAAAAAAAATTAACTTAATAATTAAAAATTTAAATATAATATTATTATTGTTATTATAATAATAATATTATTATTATTATAAGTATTTTATATTTATATAAAAATATTAAATATTATATATATATATTTTTTAAGATAAATATAATAAATTAAAAAATATATATTTAATTAATAATAATTATAAATTATAATTATTTATTTATCTATAAAAATATAAAAAAATATTAAAATTAATTTAGGATAAATATAATTATTTTTTTTAAATAATATAAATAAAGAATGGGACGAAAAAATCTAAAATTAAAAGAAAAATTTAACTCGACGAAAATCATGATTACAAATAATTAAAAAAACAAGAAGTGGAAAGGACAAAATCCACCCATTTTCGTCCATTGTCATCTGGTCATCCTGGTGCTATCAAAAGAAAGATGACCCAGGACTGTGAGCGAAGGAAGACAAAATCGTATATAATTATAATTGATTAAATTAAAGTGTAGAAGTAAAAACTTTCTCCATTTATCCCATTAAAAGATTTAGTTAATTAGTTCAAATTTACAAAATATTTATATTAAGTATATTTAAAAAATATATAATATTTTTTGAAAAACATATATTTCAGTTGAGAAATATAGTTCGAAGTGTTTAATTCAGAATTAATTAATTTTAGAATATTCTATAATAAAATTATTATTTTGCAATAATTTTTCAAAATAATTTAAAATCCATTATAGAATATTTAAAAAAAATGATTTTCAATAAATTTTAAAATACTATTAATATTACTAAATGTTTATTTTATTCCACTAAATTTTAAATTGAATAAATACTTATATATAAGTTATATTATAGTTAAATTCACGTTAAATTGTATTGGAATCTTGTTGATAAAATATATATTCTTTAAAATTATTTAATAATATTGTGATTTATAACTAGTTAAATGTTGATACAAAATGTCTAAGAAAATGTATTATATTTGAATTTTGAAGATAAAAATATATATAAATTTTGTTACGCTGTGGTGGTGCTTGTGTGAAGCATGCATGACATACTTTAAAAATGGTTGGTTTTACTTGGAACATGGAACGTGCCACTAGCAACTGAAAAAGGCCCTGCCCTTAAGCCACGTGCAAGGTATGATGCATCTTACGGAACGGAAGTGTACACAAAGGTGAGAACACGTGGACAGGAATCACACACTCACAATCGCAAGCCACCAGGTGGAATCCCACACCGACTTAACCTTCCTCCTAAGTTTCCCTCCCAAGGCAACTCAAGAAACGAATGTATGGAATCGATCTTCTCTTTCTGTTTTCTCTTTCTCTTTCTCCTCGCTTCGCTGCATCACCATAATTTTCAAAATGCAACGTTTTGTTGACGACGTCCTCGCTGTTACTAAAGAGTAACCACCTTCTTTCTTATCTTGCTTTCTCCGTTCAAAATTCTGATTCACTGTGTCACTTGGATTGGATTGGTTTCTGCATGTGGCCAATGATTCTAAACACAGAGCATAAATCCTTTTGCGTTGGTGCGATGAGATTCTGTTCCAAATTTTGTCTGACTTTTGTCACTTCAATTGCAGGTCGGTGAAGACGTTTACTTATGAGTCATTGAACAATACTGTGAGATTGATCAATGGTGTCTCAGCTCTTCTGTTGACACTGCTTCCTGGGAAAGCTAATATACTTGCAGGTATTCAAGGTTGGGAGCTTACGCCAACTTTTCGTGGACCACGCTTTCCACGTTGGATGGAAAAGTAAGTTTTTATCTTCATTTTCGTTACGGTTTTGTTAAGTATTTCTTCGTGAATTCTTTGTTTCAACGTACAAGAAATAGACGCCTCCAGTGATTTTCATTTCATGTATAATATACTTTGGTTCTTGTCATTGGATTGTACATACTTTTCTAGGTTGCTTATAATTTGCTTTGGATTACATTTGGGATGAGCGTTTACAACTTTATAGTATGCCATGTCTTTAATCTTGTACACGGTTCTTGACATTTTTTTCCCTTGCCTTGTTTTTAGTGGTGTGTCCTCTTTCAACCAGTTTATTCATGAGCTTTCTGTGGATTCCGATTTATCAAGCCTGGAATATTCATCTGGAGAAGAAGCAGAAGAATACGAAGAAGACCGTGATGAATATGAAGAATATCCTCAACCTCCCTCCTCTCAAAGTTCTGGAGCCTCCGGAACTACTTTTACTAATTATGGTGGGCACCAGACGGGTTGGATATTGGTTTCCATACGGTTCTTGCTGGGGATTCCATTTCGTCTTTTCCAATTGGTTTTCTCTGGGGTGTCAAAACGGCGCGTTATCTCTGGCTATCAACACCCTTCACAACCACATTCACCCAATAGAGTGCCAAGCCTCAAGGATCAAATTATTCATCGTGCTACTGATAAGAGACGTGGAGTCATAGAGGTTAAGCAGCAATTTTTATCCTTATTAATTTGTGTTGTTTTTTCTGACCACATATTTGTATTTTAGCAGACAAGTCTCATTCTTTTTTTATTTCTTGGATTCAATCAGGATCTTCATTTGGCCATGGAAATATTTATAGAAGCTGTTTTTGATGTTATTCACAAGGCAATACACATTCTTATTTCCCCATCAGAAGCTTTTGGAACATTATTCGGGTTGTTTTCATCTCATGAAAGGCGCGTTTTAGTTGATAATGAGGTTGAGGATGCCTCTGTTTCTTCAGCTCCTACAGACAGCAATACTAGTTTTCGCTCATCTCTAAACACGGATGCCCGGACATGTCAAGATGTTATAACGGAGCTAGGGTAAAGTACAGACTGTTGTGTACACCAATTTTTTATTTGAAGATCTTGCTTTGGACATTAATAATTTATGCTTCTAATTCTCACAGGTATCCATATGAAGCTATTCATGTGATCACTGCGGATGGATATGTTCTTCTTTTAGAAAGAATTCCTAGGTAAATTTTGGAAATTTTTTAGGGAAATTGTATGGAGCTTCGTAAGTGTAATAATCCACCACCACCCTCTCTGATTTTGAACTTACTGTTATATTTCCAATATTAAAATTAAATGCTCCCCTCTGAGTATCCAGTGAGAATCACTGCAGAAATGAAGATATCGTGCATGATACTGATTGACTATTTGACATCTTTTGATCTCAACCTTCTTCTTTTTTTCCCTATTATTGTATGGAGTGAATTGCCTCTGATTTGCTTCTTTTTTTCTGGTAGTCATGGTTCTTTTCAAAGTTGTGGCTCATTCCTGACATAAATATAGCACTATTTGCATCAAGACTCTATCATGTGTAGAGGTGAAGGATTTTGAAGGCTATAACACAATTTTTCAATTAGCATATATATAATTATCACAAATTTATAACAACATAGGAAGAATAGACAATCAAAAGGTTTGATTATTGTTATTGCTTTGTGGACAATCTAATGTCTGTAATCTGACTTCACAGGCGAGATGCACGTAAAGCTGTTTATCTTCAGCATGGAACCTTTGATTCATCAATGGGGTGAGTAATGTTGTTGTCTCAATCTTGATTAGTTCGGGTTTAATTTGTAGAGTATTTCTTTTTATGTGAATGTGAAGTAGAGACCTGTATAGGTAGTTGGGTAAATTTTGTTGTATCATATTTTTTTTGTACCGCTGCCCGAATTGATTATTAGTTGCGATCTTGACATGACATATACGACTGATGAGCTTTTCTGTTTAGATTTTACCCTGTATCCTCTGTTTCGTACCTGATTTTCCCCCCTCTGAATCGTGAACTTTTTCTATTGTTTCAGTTGCTTGGATGCCAGAATGATGTTAGGACAATATTGGTAGTCTAATAAGTTAAACTTTTTTGGTTCAGTTGGGTATCTAACGGGGTTGTTGGCTCTCCCGCTTTTGCAGCCTATGACCAAGGTTTGTTACATCAATCAATGTAGTAAGTGCGCTTCAAGAAAATATCTGTTTTGAAAGGATTATTACATGTGTGTTTGTTATTTTCAGGGTTTGATGTGTTTCTTGGAAATATTCGTGGTTTGGTTTCCAGGGAACATGTCAACAAGAATATCTCCTCTCGTGAGTAAGTGCTCAAAGCAAATCCTATTGATTTATCTTCTGTTGTCTAATAGAATGTGGTTTATATTTAACCATATTCATTCCTGTGACATTGATGTAATCCAGATATTGGAAGTACTCTATCAATGAATATGGGACTGAGGATATTCCTGCTTTGATAGAGAAAATCCATCAAGTAAAAACTGCTGAGTTGAGGCTTAGAAAGCTTGATATTGAGGAGGAAAGTAATGATGATCAGCTTTACAAGCTCTGTGCTATTTGCCATAGTCTTGGAGGAGCTTCTATGTTAATGTATGTTGTAACGCGTAGGATAGAAGCAAATCCGCATAGACTTTCAAGGTTGGTTTTGTTGTCACCTGCTGGTTTTCATCATGACTCAAACCTAATATTTTCTGTGATGGAGCATGTATTGTTTTTGCTGGGTCCTATTTTGTCTCGTATTTTCCCAGCCTTCTATATACCAACCAGGTTTTTCCGTATGCTTTTTAACAAGTTAGCTAGGGACCTGCAAAACCTACCTGCAGTTGGAGGATTGGTTCAAACGTTAGTAGGTTACGTAGCTGGTGGGGACAGCTCAAATTGGGTTGGGGTTTTAGGATTACCACATTACAACATGAATGATATGCCAGGAGTATCGTTTGGTGTTGCTCTCCATCTTGCACAGCTAAAGCGTGCTAGAAGATTTAGAATGTTTGATCATGGGAGTGCATATGCTAATATGAAACTATATGGTTCCCCTGAGCCTTTGGACTTGGGTGAACACTATGGTCTCATCGACATTCCTGTTGATCTAGTTGCTGGTCAGAGAGACACGGTAATACGACCTTCAATGGTAAAGAGACACTATAAATTGATGAAGGATGCTGGCGTGGATGTGTCATACAATGAGTTTGAATATGCTCATTTGGATTTTACCTTCTCTCACCGTGAAGAACTTTTGTCGTATGTTATGTCACGTTTGCTTCTTCTGGAGCCCAATTCAAAGAATCATCAAGTAAATCAAAGGGTTCTAAGATCGAGAAGGAAAGGACAGCTTTCAGTAAGTGGGTAGAAAATGATATATCTATACATTGTCTCGCAGTCGGATGGAGCTGTATACACCTGTCTAGTTACAGAGCTGATCTTTACATGCGTCGTCTCCTCCATTAAATCTTAGCTCTTTTTTATTCGATGTTTTGTTTAATTTGGAGAAGGAATAGACCTTGAAAGACAATATTTGAATACATTGTAAAATAGTTTCGACTCTCTGGATAGAACAGTGGCGTCAGAGAAAAAGATAGTTGTATATGTTGGTAGTTCACCTGAGGTTCGTGGAATTTTATGTGACTATGCTTCCTTCAATCAAGGTTTACAAAACCTGAAGCTTTTGAGGTATTTGTCGACTTCAATGAAAAAATTCGCTTTAACTAAGTTTTGAAGATGAAACTGGAACTGGATCAATACAAATCAAGATAACGAATTTAATTATGACGTATTGGTGATAACAAGTTTTGAAGATAAAGAAATCAAACAAGATGTGTAAAATATCTGGAAGAGGAAAGCCGTTACAAAAGAACATTTAGAAGATAAGGGCACACTGTCTACACCAAAGCTCTTTATCTAAATGATTTCATCCTGGATGAGGGAAGAAGTTTAATTATACACTCAAAAGTAACATTGTATTTATTACATTACTGGAGAAGCCTTTAAGTAAGATAATTTTGACGATTTTTGTAAGATTTTTCCAAATTTCATCTTTAAGTAAGATACTTTTGACGATTTTTTTTAATTAGGTGTTGTCTTCAATTATTGTTTTAAGACACTAAGGCAGATTTTTGCTTTAAGATGTTTTGACTTATATGCTACAGTCTTTCGTCACAGTCTACGTTTTGTTTTCTTTCTTGTCAGAGATTTGTCGCTCGTTAATTTTTTAAAAGATTTGTTATTACTTGACTTTTATGCCAAAATAGTCATTTCCATTGTCTTGAAAATATTTAGTGCACCACTTGATGCACTTTCTTCTTATTCTTTCTTTAAAAAATTGATGCACTTTCTTTTTATTCTTTCTTTAAAAAATTGTACAAATTTCTTTTCTGTAATAATATTTTATTTATTTTTATAATGCTTCTTTTTCTTCTTCAATTCGCGCTCTTGATTTGATCACTCATTTATTTATTTATTGTCTGTTCATTTAATATTGAATTTGTTCCACCATTCCATTCTATTATTTTTAATCTTACCAAGTAATAAATCTGTCTTGAATTTTCATGTCAAAATTCAAGTTATTCTTCATTTGTCTCGAAGTAAATAAGCCGGTTCTTCATTTGCCTTGAAGTAAATAAGTCGATATACACGCACAACAGTCCTTTTGTCTATACAACATTGATAAATTTCTTTAACTTCTCCAGAAAATTTGTCATAGTCGTTTTAAAGTCAGAACTACTTCATCAACCATTTTGGAGATGTTAGAAGAAAAAAAACGGTCCTTCTTGAAATAAAGAGTGTTGAAAAGGTTTATTATAACTATGTTCATCAACATAATTGAAATAATCTTAACTTGGAGTTTTATTTTTATTTCTTTTACAATTATATTATTAGTACAACATATCGTACAACATATCTAACTATATGTTGTATTAAAGTTTTTGTATACATTCAAATTTATTTTTAAATCTCGAATTTACAAATATGAAAGACGTTTACCGTAATATTTAAGTAATACTTTTATTAGAATTGTAATTTAAAAATTAAAAATCCTAAAATCTTACCCTTTTAATGCTATTGCTGGTAACATCATCGAAGTCAATGTTGTACTTTTATAAAATACTTTCATTCTAGGTTCCTGGATTTAATTAACTAGTTATTAAAAGTTCGTTGTCATTTTGACGATACGTAATTAAAATTATAGATGCAGGTACTAAAACAAAAATACTTAAAACTCATTTTAACATAGGACTTCTGATAATAAATAGTTAATTCAGAAAATAAAATAACTAAATATATTATGTAAGCACATAAGTTAACTTTAAAAGGGGACTTCTAACGAGAAGACTAAAACGACAAACGAGTCAGATATCACGTCAGACTCTTTTTTTTTCTATTATAATACATTCAGGGATTTAAATAAAAGTGAATTAAAATGACTGTATATCCTTACATTGATACACAGATGGATTATGACTGATTAAATTTTAATAAAAGTATTTGAAAAATAAAATTGAAAAGATTACACCTGATGCTCAATATAAGATCGTGTAATTCACTGAGCACATTCAGAGATGTCGATTAAGGAAACCAGAGCCTTCATTTCTTCCAAAAGGGTATAATAGAAGCAACATCGTCCTTTGACTTTCAAAAACACGGATCTCATGTTTTCATATGGTGAACAATACAGATAACACGCTAGATCAGGACTGGAATGAAACCGCATCTGTTTATTTTATGCAGTGCCTACATTTTGTAATGCATTTGAGAAATGAGGAGTACACTTTTCTTCTAAAGTTACACTCCCAACTCCCCAACCTCTGGTCCTAATGGTTCAAAGACGGCTTCCACTTTATTCGGATCAACTTCCTCCAAGCTTGATGGTTTCCATTGTGGATTCTGCGGGAAGAAACAATTATTAACTAGGAAACAGCATATATCAAATATTGAAGAAAATATATGGAGACAGAAGGACCAAATATAATTTATGAATACTTTGAACTGTAGATTTATACGCATAGAAATCAAATATATGGGGCATATTTGATTTTATTATTGTTTTTGAGAATTATTTGATACATTATTCTTACAGAAGAGAAATATCAAAAGCATGTTTGATAAATTATGTTTTCATGTAGTTTTGAAATTTGCGCACAATGGCAGCGGTAATGAAATGAATGATGATGATGGGAGAAATGGTATTCGTGGCAACGGTAACGGTAGTTCCTCGATATCAAGTAGATTGAACGGTAAGGACTATAAGTATGCAAGTAGGTTTTTATGCCGTTAGTTTGTTCGAAATAATTGTTGAAAACAATCAGACACGTATTTTCAACTGGATTCTCGAGTGTTTCCAAACTTTGGAAGGAAAGCATTAGTTCAAACACCAAGAACAACCATAATTTTTGTATGATTTTGTTTCACCGATCATTTCTCAAGTGATAATTCACTTATTCTCAAGTGCACATCATATTTCCTGGTTTAGCAGACGACTAAAATTGGAGTTTGTCTTCTAGATTAAGAATATACAAATTATAAAAAAAATGGAGAACCTGGTCCTTGTCCACCAGCACTGCTCGGACACCTTCTGAAAAATCATCTCGTAGTGAAGACCTCAAGGCAATACGATACTCAGTTTTCATTACGCCATTGAGCTGGGATTTCCCAAATGCAGATGAAATACTCATAAATTAGTTTGCATACATGGAAATCAACCACCCTCTCCCTTAAAAAAAGTGCTTACCGTGGATAGTTCATCATCATTCTTCCCCACTGCAGAAGCAACTGCAGAGAAGTACTTGTTGGTCAAGGAAAGGGAAAAAGGAGCACCTTTTCTGAGGCCTTGGAGAGCTTCGCTAGCCCACTCCACGACTACAAAATAGAAAATTACAACATTTGAACTAGACTGGCAATTAACCGTAATTTCAAAACATCAGTATTTAGTATATACAACAATAAGAGTATCCGGGCAGCTCATGTGTCAATCAGCATACCATTAGGGTCAGTGCTTGACTGGTGTTTATCTAGCTCCTCAATGATTTCAGTGACTGACTTATTTCCTCCGAATGAAGATACAATCTGAGGTAACAGCAATTTTAACTGTGCCTCAGACTCAGGGTTGGACTCATATCTTGCTAAAAGTACTTTGATGTCCTGATGTGGATCCTGGGAACTATGTAACCAATGAGTTTGTGTAAGATCATTATACCTTTGGGGTTTGAAGGCTCATTCATAAGCACTCGAAACAATTATGTATAATTTCTTCATGACAAAGCCAATATAGATATAATAGATTATTTCCACAAACATTTAAGAAGACCACGAGCAACACCAGTAATGTATCCTCTACATGACACAAAAGCACTTACAAAGTAATATAATTTCATGGGTCCATTAAATCTAAATCGATTAAGTCAATGGGGGAAATATTCTTAAATAGAGCCTTAAGGGCTGTTCAAAGGTTGAAGCTAACATACAAGTTTGTGGCTAAAAGGGCATCCTTGAATGAACCTAATTTTCCAGATGGCACGTAATGTGTTCCAAGACCAGCATATATAGCATCTGAAGGAGTAGAAATCCTCTTTCCAGTCAATCCAAGATAAGCACCTGCAATTAGTAAAATTTTCAAATTAACATGATTCAGTATCCATTGCATGCAAGTGGAAATACGGAAGAACTTTCAACAAACTATAAATAAAATTTTAATTTTAATTGAAACTTGAGACCACATCTAGACGCTTCACTAGTGTGCACACAGCATGTATTTATTATGCAGATTACAACAAAGGGAACCATTGGTGTTTTAACAACCTCAAATTCACACATTACTAGTCTTGTAAAAGAAATAAAGGACAACAAATGTTGTATTCATTTTAAAAAGTAAATTTACCAACAGATCCTTCCCCAGGACTTTGAGCTGCTATATAAGCGAAACCTACATCTGGGAACAAACCAATTCCGTTTTCTGGCATGGCAAGAACAGTTCTCTGTGGATGAGAAAGAAGAAGAAAAGTAATAAGCATCGCAATGCATGATTAAACAATGCAACTATTACCAGGTGAGCATACCTCTGTTATGATGCGATATCGGCCATGACCAGATAAACCAATTCCAAAACCCATTGTTATTCCATCCATGAAGCTTATATATGGCTTCGTGTAATCAGAAATTTTGCATATAAGAGAATACTCAGCAGTGAAGACCTAAAATATGTAACATAACATTATCTTTACGTAGTACATTAACAGGTCATACAAATATACAACATACAGCAAAATGCACAATTGCTCACGGCAACAGCATTACAAACTCTTAAAGTTAAATTGTTTAGGACTAGGGTCCAAATCTACAATAACTAGGAAGGAAGCTTGCAACACACCAAACTTGTGTGAACTTAGTCAGGATTTAACAAACTTGCTAAATTATGATTCCAATGCTGATTTAGCAAATCAGCTCTATGTTCAGTAACAGGCCCAAAAAAGTGTCCCCAAAAGGCACCATTAGGCCAACTATTTCCCTTTTTTGGTTCTTTTCAGAAACTCTTTTCATTTCAAGCCCATTTGTCTCCTCCTTTATTGTTTTAGGCTAATAACTTGCAGCATTAGTTGGGAACTGGGGGCTTACGAATTTGAAATTGAGAACTTAAGAATTTTATATCTTCACAAATTTGTGGTCTTGGCTCTCAGACTCTAGAATGTGATGAAATCATCACATTAAATTTTAATGTCATTTTTGCAAAATTTTATGTACTATAACAGTTTGTTACTTCAATTTGTTCAATCATGAAGTTGGAATTTTGGCTTTTTTACTAGTTTTATATATATATATATATATATATATATATATATATATATATATATATATATATATATATATCTTTTAATATTATTTCATATTAAGTAAACTCTTGCAAGTTGAGCACGAGAGAAGTTTAATAACCCTCCACAAGTTTATTTAGATTCACGAGTTTGATTACATTGGTTGGTTGACAGCAATTAGTAAGAAACAGAATGCAATCCAACCTGGCAACAAAAACTGTTAAATCAACCACATGACATATGCAGTTCTAGTAGTCACATACACTAAACACCCAAAGGAAGTTTAATGTCAAGGGAAAGAAAAGACTGTTAAAAAGGGTAATTTTGAAATGACATACATTCCAAAAGATAGGGCATTAATAGGCCAGAACTGGAAGCACCTTCTGGCCATGGCCATACACATAATAGCAACACCTGGGCAGGGATTGGTTGCACAACTTCAGGAGTCAGGATATATTGTGGCCTAACAAAAAAATAAAAAGTTGCAGAGATGGCTTCTTCTAAGATGGCACATTTTTTTTATTTTGGATTTAGTACACATTTGGATAAACAACTTAATTAGAAAACTAACTCCATAAGCTCTTACCAAATGAGCTATGTTAAAGTTAATAAAATAAGCTAAAAAGAGCTTATCTGATGAGCTTTTCCATGAAGCTAATTCAAATAAGCTTTAAAAAAAAAAAATACAAGGTCACAGCTATGACCCCAAATAAACTCCTCCAAAAGCCTCCCCAATTGGTCATGAAACTCCCTCAATACCAATTATCGTATAATTTGAATCTATTAAAGCTAGTTTGTCATGAATAATGTCAAATAATAAATTATACTTCCTCTAGAGTATAGTAGAAACAGACATTATTAGTTTATAAGTGCGAAATATTTTAATGGGACCGGTATATATTGTGCTCTGACATGGTTTTGATAAAGAGAAAGGGTATGAATCTGAAGGCATATATAATTATTACAAAGGACACAACTAGACCTCAATCATATCTGATAGATTGTTTTTGATTGTTATCTGCTTCACATCACCACCTGCAGATAAACTACAATCTGGGTTACCGAGTACGAAGTCGTTAAGAACATAGCACGAATTTATTTGAGGAAACAAGAACTATAAACCAGTAGGATGTCATTGAAAAAAGATGATGATATTGACAAAGATGCAAACAATATATCCAACGAAGTACATCACAACTGCAACTAGATAGATATTAAAACAAATAATATGAGACCTTTGGCACTAAAGGAGTGTTTTTGTCCTTTTGTATTTCAGCAACAACCCCTTTAATATCCATACCTGCATTGAGCACCAACGGTGACTCTCAAAACCTTACCTAGCACTCAACCAAAAAAACTCAAATTGAAAAAATAATATCTGCAAAAGGAGCTGATTTTTAATTTATTTATTTAAACTACAAACACGCTTCGATGAAGTATCGCATTAAAGAAATATGAATATGTATTTAATCCAATGACTCGATCATACCGGCACAAAAGGCACGGGAAGAGCTGCTATCAACCAGTACACATTTGACCCTTGGGTCCGATTCCCATTCATCAAGATAACTTTTATACTTTACATCCATGTCTGTACCACAAAAATACGCAAATCAAAAATTACGAAAAAATAACCAAATAATTAACTCAACAGAAGATGGCTTATAATTCAAAAATAGAAAGAAACAAACAGATCCAGACCTAGTTTTTCTCATTCTACGTCGATCAATCAATACCCAGAATCATCATTCGCTAAAATATTGAATACAGATAACCCAAATTTCGCACTTTCCCAATCTTCCAAGGCCTCATGACACTAATCATAGATACTAATTTCCAACTAATCAATGAGCTCCACAATAATTGCGTATTGCTATAAAAGCGAGTTCAACTAAACAGTCCAGATTTCAAAAGCGAATCTCCGAACACAACTCTCAACTTAAAAGCATGCATGATTAGGGAAAGAAGAAGAAAATAGAAAAATTTTAAAAACCTAGGTTCATGGCGTTGAGAGCTTTGGGGCGATCGAGGGTTATGACAGCGACGCCGTTTTGATGAACAGTGCCCTTCACAAATTCTTCGGCCATAGCGGAAAATAGTCGTGGAGAGAGAGAGGAGGAACGTTGAGAGCGACAAAAGGAGAGTGAACACAGAAAACGGTGAACTCTGACAACACCCACTACCATCCTTTTATCTGATATACCTCTCAAAACCATAACGCCTCTATTACCACCTCGTTGTTACATGTTTCATTTTTGCCTTCTCTCTATTTTACCCCTCTTTTTTCTTACTAATTCCTCCTTGGCCTACTTCTTTTCTTCATTCTCTCCAAGGTTAAATTAGTCAACAAAAATGCCCATTATGCCCCATGGGTGTGTTTGTGCCATACCATAGTTTTTTTTATTATTATTATTTAGGGTATTTAGTGTTTTTACTTCTTTAATAATGAGTTTAATTTTTCATTTTGAATTTGAGTGCTATAAAAAAACCTTTATTACATTTTCAATTTTATCAAATTCTTATGAATATTTGTATGTTGTTGTAAGCATTTTGCCTTCATATTTTTTAAATGTCAATTAATTTTGCTTTTTTTATTGTCATATTCTTGTTAAAGTTTATCTACTAAGGTTTATTAAAGTTAAATAATATCGTCTACTAAAATTTAGTATTCTGATGTGGTGTTAAGTAACATTATTTAAGAAATTGTTATTTAAGGAGGTTGCAGTGAAGCTGAAGGCAGTGACGAAACCAATAGGATCAATGGATGTCAAATTCTTCACTATTTTACAAGACATTTATTTTGGTAATTCAAACTTCCCATAAACATATTACACATAGTAGTAGAGAATGGAAGAAATGCTAAGTTAGAGACAAAAGTGCAATTAAGTAAAATAAAAGATATCACTAATATGTTTAACTCTCACACAAAAGTTAATAATCAATAAAATACTTTATACCAATGACATAGTTATTAAAAATAGAAATGAAATTATTTTTTAAATTATTTATAGAAGTCAATCAATTGATATATATATATATATATATATATATATATATATATATATATATATATACTTAATGATTTATCCGTTTATAAAGTACTTTTGATTAGTATAACTCACAGTATTTTCTTTATTAGAAATAATAATTAGTAATTTGATAATTCTTTTAAAACTGATAATATGGTAATTTATGAGGTAACATATTTTATTCATTAGTGACACAATATCTTTGTCATCTGATGGGTAAATAATCTCTATTGATTAAAAAATACATCTTAAATAATCTTAATAATTTTGTCTTAAAATCGTAATATTTTATTAAAAATTTAATTATAAGTTAGTCTTAATATTTTGAATCAAAGTAATATCATATTTTATATGATTAACTCGTATTATTTTTAAAAAATAATATTAATCAGTTCGAAATATTTTCGTTTAAGAGAATGAAAATATAAAAAATAAAAAATAAATAAAACGATATGAGATCCAGATATTTAATTATACCAAAACATTGAATAATTATACTAAAAAACGCATTACTTATTAATCATGGACACATCATAAAAAAAATAGAGTGACGTGTGATATCCTTTCATAATTAGTTATTGACACCCACATAAGAAATTTTTTTATTGTAGTAACAAGCATTAAATTTATTAATAATAATAAATAAAAGTATTAATAATAATAAAAAACTAAAATCTATTATTTTTCTTCCCACAAACAACTTCATATCTACTATATTTCTCACTTGTTTATCATGTTTTCTTTTTCACTATTTTCTTCAATTTCTTTCTATCTCTTGCAAAACAGACCATCCTAGAAAAAGATGTATTTAAAATTAAAGGTTGAAACAACATAAACTTGGTTAATTCACCATTCTACCTGCATCAATCACCCATGTTTTGTGTTAATTACTCACCCCATATAGTTGATGATTGGTTTTAATACTCAATTTATCATACTCTTATTGATTACATGGTAAAATTAATGAGAATTTTGGGTTGATTTTAATGTAAAAAGATGGATTCCATTGAGAATATGGGAGAAAACAGCAGAGAATAAAAATTGGTCTAATTCATATATTGATCGAATACAAAAGAAAAAAAAACTTACTACTATAGAGGAAGAAAAATAAGTTAAATATAAAAGGAAAAAGTCAGTTATGCAGTAAGTCAAACCTGCATAAACCAATACTAACAAATGAAAAAGACACATGTGTAACTAATAGTCTCCCCTCAAGCTGGAGAGTGAATATTAAGAACACCCGGCTTGGAAATATTGTTAAGAAAAGGTGAAGGATCGAGAGCTTTGGTGAAAACATCTGCAAGTTGATTTGTAGAGGAAATGGGAAGAAGATGGAAGAGGTTGGCCTGCACACGATCTCTGACCACATGACAATCAATGTCAATGTGTTTGGTGTGTTCATGAAAGCTAGAATGAGTAGCAATGTGACGAGCAGCTTGGTTATCACAATAGATGATAGCTTGATTGGGCTTGGAGATATTGAAATCATGAAGCAAGTAATTGAGCCATTGAAGCTCGTAGCTGGTGATAGCAAGAGCCCTGTATTCTGCTTATGTTAAGGAACGAGAAACAGTGTGTTGTTTTTTTTATCGCCAAGAAATCAACGAATTACCCAAAAAGATACAGAATCCAGTGGTAGAGCGACTAATTGTCAAACATGAAGCCCAATCTGAATCACTAAATCCTTTCAATTGAATATTGGAATTGGAAGAGAAAAACAAACCTTGACCAGGATTATCTTTCAAATAACGAAGTATACGATTGGCAGCAGCTTGATGGAAGACAGTGGGCTTTTGATTAAACTGACTTAGAAAATTAACAGTGAAACTTATATCTAGTCGTGTATTTGTAAGATACAAAAGTTGTCCAATAAGGCGATGATAAGCATCTGCATCACAAAGATCAGCATTATCATCGAAAAACAATTTGGTGTCCTTGGTAATGGGAGTAGAACATGGTCGAGTAGCTAGATGACCACTGTCAGCAAGGATATTAAGAGTGTATTTGCGTTGACAAATGTGAATGCCTTGTGTGGTACGAGCAACTTTTAAGCCAAGGAAATATTTAAGTTGTCCCAAATCTTTAATTTGAAATTGTTGATTAAGAAATTGCTTGACGGTGTTGATTTCATCAATTGAATCACCTCCAAGAATTATATCATCTACATAAATGAGTAAAGCAGTGAAGGAAGAAATATTTTTCTTTGTAAAAAGAGAATGATCATATTGAGATTGTATAAACTCAATTGAAAGAAGAGAAGTAGATAATTTGGCAAACCACTGCCTACTAGCCTGTTTTAATCCATAGAGGGATTTGGTTAAGCGGCAGACCTAATTTGCTTGAGAAGGTATCACGCCAGGGGGGGATCCATGTACACTTCCTCATTAAGATCTCCATGAAGAAAAGCATTATTGACATCTAGTTGAACAAGATGCCAATTCTTAACAGCTGCAATAGCAAGCATGAGTCTAACAGTGGTAATTTTAACAACAGGAGAAAAAGTGTCTAAGAAATCTACTCCTTCTAATTGAGTGAAACCCTTAGCCATTAGTCTAGCCTTATGTCTTTCTATAGAACCATCAGCTTTATATTTGGTTTTATAAACCCATTTACAACCTATAGTTCTCTTTCCAGGGGGAGGATTAGTGAAATACCAAGTCTTATTTTCTTCTAAGGCTTTTATTTCTTTACGCATAACATCAATCCATTCAGGGTAACAAGCTGCTTGTTTATAAGTAGTGGGTTCAAAATTGTTAGAAATAGCAAGAATGTATTTCAAATGTTTTGAAGATATTTTTTATAAGAGAGAACAGAAGATAGAGGATAAGAAATGATACTATTTTTAGAATTGTTGGTGTTGTCATCTCTTGAAGGATTGCAATAAGAATCTGAATTGTTGGAGTTGTCAGCACTTAAGGAATTGCAATGGAAATCCTGCAGATAATATGGTGCCTTTCTCATTCTAGTAGATCTTCAAGGAGCAAGCTGGTTAGGTGTTCGATTGGAAATATCTTCTTCTGTCACTTGGAAGGAAATATCTTGAGTATTTGAAAACTGATGCACATGATTAGACCTGACTTTCTTATGCATGAGTTTGTTAGAATCGAAAAAGAATTGAAAATCAATTAATGTGAAAAGATCAGTGTCATCAACAATATTAGTTTTAACATAGCGAAATTCATTTTCATAGAATATCACATTTCTGGATATAGAAATTTCTCTAGAATGTAAATCAAGAGTCACATAACCTTTGGTGCTAGGTTTATATCCAAGGAAAACACTTTTTCTGGCTCTAGGATCCAACTTGGTACTGTTGTTATGAATTGTAGATGTGAAGCAAAGACAACCAAACACTTTTAAATCATTAAGAACAGGAAGTTGATTATGCAGAATTTGGAAAGGAGATTGGTTCCCTATGGTTTTACTTGGTAGCCTGTTGATTAGGTAGATAGCATGAATAACAGCATAGGACCAAAAACATTTTGGAAGATTGGCTTGAAATAACAAGTTACGTGTGACATTCATTATGTGTTGATGCTTCCTCTCTACCCTTCCATTTTGTTGAGGTGTTTCTACACAAGAAGTTTGATGAATAATACCATTTTTATCATAGAATTCAGGATAAGAAAACTATTTCCCATTGTTAGTTCTGAAAATTTTAATATTACAGCCAAATTGGTTTTTAACAAGGGTAATAAAATTGTTCAATAGACTCCTAGTCTCATGTTTACTCTTCATAAGAAAAAGCCATGTGTGTCTAGAGAAATCATCAACAATAGTAAGAAAATATTTATGACCATGTATAGAAGGAATACCAATGGGACCCCATATATCTATATGAATCATTTCAAAAATTGTACTGGAAACATGAATACTGTTATTGAAGGGAAGTTTATGTTGCTTGGCCGAATAACATATATCACAAATATTTTCAGTGCTATTATGAATGTAAGGAAAATCTTTAATCATATTTTCAATTATCTTGCTAGAAGGATCCCAATCTGTTGTGCCAAAGATTGGGAGTGGAATGATTTCTGCTGCGAGAATTAATACTGGTGTGTTGTCATCAGTAGGCACAATTGAACTATTATTACTGATGTTATTAATATGAGACCAAGAAAAAACAGTTTCTTGTTTCTGTAAACAATACAAGCCATCTTTCAGGTCAGCATGCCCAATCATCTTCAATGTAAGAACATCCTGAATCTGGCAATGGTTAGAAGAAAAACTCAGTTTACAATTAGAATCAATAATCAGTTTTTAAGCAGAAATTATATTAAATTCAAAATTGGGAATATGAAGAACATTATAGAGTGTAAGGCTATTTGAAATACAAACTGTGCCAGCATATTCAGCAATGACATGATTACCATTAGGTAATTTCACATGCATAGGTCTGATTTTAGTAAAAATTAAAAAATGATTTTTATTGTAAGCTACATGATTAGTAGCCCCAGTGTCTATAATCCAAGATGAACAGAGAATACCTTTGGAGTCTTGTTAATCACCATTATTATTTTTAAACTGATTGACCCTATGAGTAGTGTCTTGATTCTTTTCTTGCAGAAGGTTTAAAATTGTTGAACTTGTTCTCTTGTCAACTGACTATTCTGAACAATGTGCACTTGATTCTTTGATTCTTCTTCTTTCAAAACGTTGTCAGCCATAACAGTGTTGACAATAGAATCATTTTTGTTATTTTTAAACCATGGAGGGAATCCGTGTTTGGCATAGCATTCATCAACAGTATAGTGCAATTTATTGCAAAAAGTACATTGTTTACCATAGTTGGAATCCCTCCCACGCCCACGTCCTTGGTTCTTCCAAGATCACGTCCTTGAGTTTTCCAATTTCCTTGATTGTTAAAATTCGCAATAGGTCCTTGATTAGCAGCTATCAAAAGAGTTTTGGCATCAACGTGATTCACTCCCACCAATTGTCGTTCTTGTTGTAGAATTAACGAGAAAACACGATTAATTCCTGGGAGAGGCTCCATTAAAAGAATTTGAGATTTTGGAGTGGTGAAGGCGTTATTTAATCCCTTCAGAAAACATATTACATGTTTGGATTCACGATAACAAGCAACGATTTTAAAGGCTTCAGAAGAACATTGCAGATTGCAGGTACAACTAGGAATGGGACGCAAGGATTTCAGCTCTTCCCAAAGAATTTTGAGATTTGTATGGAATTCAGAAATGCTTCTTTCTCCTTGCTTAATGGAGTGCAATTCCTGTAGCAAATCAGAAGTCCTAAAATGGTCTCCTTTTGAGAATCGTTCCTTGAGATCTTCCCAAAGATCTCTTGCATTATCAATGTATATAGTACTTTGAGTAATTTGATCATTTAAAATTCGAGTTATCCAAAAGAGTACCATGCATGACATTGCATCTCTCCCATGAGTCATGAAGATGATCGTCTTCTTGTGGAATCTTGATGGCTCCAATGATGAATTTTAATTTGTTTTTTAAAAGAAGAGCTCTGCCCATGCTCCTACTCCAAGAATGGTAATTCGTACCATTCAATTGCTTTGAAACAAGAATCATTCCAAGATTCTCACCTAAGTGCAAATAATACGGGCTCGAAGGATTCAAAGATTCGTCAATTACAGTTTGCGTTTCTGGATTACTGTTAGCCGTTGAAGAACTGACAGAAGCCATCAAGAATTAAAAAAAAAAAAACAAAGAAAGATAGGAAAGAGAAACAGAAAGGATGCAGAGGAGGCATAACGTAAAAACATGGATTCCATTGAGAATATGGGAGAAAACATCAGAAAAACTGGTCTAATTCATATATTGATAGAATACAACAGAAAGAAAAACTTAATATTGCCGAGGAAGAAAAGTAAGTTAAATATAAAAGGAAAAAGTTAGTTATGGAGTAAGTCAAACCTGCATAAACCAATACTAACAAATGAAAAATACACACTTGTAACTAATAGATTTTAAAACAACCAGCCAACTACTTATTTAGGGAACTGTTATTGGCCTTAAATGTTAAACATGGGAGATTAAATATTGTAGAGAGTAATGTTCAGTAAACCAAACAAAAAAGTGATAAAAATGTTGAAGGAGACAAGTTTGGAAAGAACAGTAGATTGATAACACTTGCACAGTTTTTGAAGTAGATTGCAAACGCAGAAATATACGTGCAAGTTAAGGAGATACGTGAATTTCATTTCTTCTATGACTCTTACAAGAATGTGAACACGTCTCAAATCTTAAAATTTTCAAGGAAAAAAAGACGGGAGAATACATAGGTGTGTATACTATTAAAAAGATGCAAATAACTAAACTGAAATTTTTATGAGCCAAGGGCACCCTTGAGAACTTGAACAAACTTAAGGGGTGCAGTTAACTGGGGAAAATGGCCAAGTGTATCTATGATCTCCAACGTAACCTTCCCTTTGATTTTGTTCTGCATGAACAGTGCTACGCTGTGAGGAACAGCAGCGTCTTTTTTGGTCTGAATGATGGTGCATGGAGTCTCCACCTTCTCAAGTATCTCTCTCCAATCAGAATAGAATATGGTTTTGGCTAAGGAGAGACCAACTTCCCTCCCATATTCTTCAAACCCTCTTCATATTTCTTCACACTTTCTTCATTACTTGCATCTGCTATTAATGAGGCGAATGCAGGAGCAAAGTCTTCATACTTGTTTTCCATGTTCCACAGTAACTGCTCTATATCTTACCTGTGAAAGCCTCCCTCATAATCATCTGAATTTAGAAACCTACATATTATTATACAAAGATAGTTAGAAGAACTTGTCTTTTAATTCTTATATATGTTTTATCATGTAATTCTATATACATTAAGGAAGTTATTTTTTTTCTGTGATATATTTCTCTCATCAACTATACTAAAGTAAAGGTAATGCATCATCTTCTTCACTTTGAATCAAGGTTTGACCCGCCGATACACTTTTCAACTTATCTGATTGGTAGACTTAAAAGAAACAGTAGCGGACAAGAAGAACCAGGTGAATAAAAATAAAAAGTATTTAACTAACAAATTTTAAAGATAACATTTATTTTCATTATCTGTGACCTTTTATTTCATCTCAGTCAAACACGTGGGAAACAGTCATAAAAGAAAAAGGCTTTTGCCAACTAATTTAATTTCTCTAATGGTACTACTACCAAAGAAATTTAAAACAAAATAAAAGCATATTTAAAAATCATATACAAAATAAGATAACTGTCTTTAATTTCTTAACCAAAATCACTCTATACAACACTAATTTTCAACCCATAGCAACATATAAGAAGCAAAAAAGAAGGCAACAATAGTTTATGAAACAAAACCAAGTAAAGGTGTATATATATATATATATATATATATATATATGAAAAGTTGGAGTGGAAGGGGAAGAAAAGATGAAAGATAGAGATACCTTGGGGAAGAACCAACGAGAACAAGGGTGTTGAAAAGTTGAGGGCTTTTGACAGAAGCAATGCAACCAATGATGCCAGACATGGAGTTGCCCACAAAAGTGACAGCTTTGAGGTTCATCTCGTGCAGCAGAGTGATCAAGTCATCGGCAAAAGCTTCGTAAGAGGAATACTTGACAGGGTGGTAGAGTCCCTGATTCTTCACAGTTCCAGCACAAGCCCAATCAAACCTAACAACACGGTAATTTTCGACAAGCAAGGGAACCACTTTGTCCCATATCGACTGGTCCATGCCGTAGCCATGAGCCAGCACCACAGTTTCAGCGCCAGATCCTTCGCTTCTCGCATTCAGAGCCTCTGAAAGACACTTTTTAGTTGTTGCCATGTTTGGGTTCAACCTTATTTCATGTTTCTTTTTTCTGGTAAAAAGATAGCTTCTCGTTAATGAGACCATAGTTTGGTTCTACTTATAGATATTAATGCGTTACTTGTGATAGCATTTTCAATTAATTGACTTTATTTCTTTTAATTTATTGTATTTTATTAAAGCGGTAAGAACCGCTCACCGAATCAACCAAAATACAAGCTACTCTAATAAAATATTATTATTTTTGTATAGTTTATCAATGTCAATATTTTTTTATAGGGAATTAGTATAATTTTTTCAACCTCGTAAACTGTTTTGCAAAAAATATAACGTAAGACCTATGTAGCCATGACAGGTAACATCTTTGAGAACGTGTTAGCATCATATTAGCAAAATATATGATAGGTATCTTATCTTTAATAGAGCTGTTAGTTTTTTCTCAACTTTGTAAGGCTATTTTACCAATCAGGGTTGTTTTTTCTCCAATTTTATAAAATTGGTCACTTTTAAAAAATTACGAATAAAGGTTAAGTAGTACTTTGTAAAATGTTTTCAATACAAAGAAATCGCATAACACAATTTTAATATAAATTCTTATTTAAATTAAAAAATGCAGTCACAGAGTTTTTTTTTAAGTAAAGGAGTATATATAAATATATTTATGATTTTGACTTTAAATTTATATTATTAAATATATTTATTTATATATTTACAATTCTAATTTCTTATATTTATATATTTTTTTGGTTTTTTATATTTATCTATTATTACTCTTCAAAATTAATTATCAAAATCTATCACTAAAATCGTAATACCTTATGACTTCCATTGTAACTAAATATAATCGAAGTTATGACGTCATTTATATTCAAATTTTTAAAATTAATAATTTATATATAAATTTTTAATATATAATACTTAAATAGTATATATATACAAACTATTTTTATTTTAAAAAATATAATTAATTCACATATATATATATATATATATAAATTGTATAATATATAGACAAATATATATAAATTTTAAATACATAAAAAAATATAACTTTAAAAAGTAATTAATTTATATATGTATTTTTAAAAACATTATAAATTATATATATATATAATAATTTAAAACAGAAATAAAAAAATTATATATTACATTAATAACTTTAATTTATATTTATTTTAAATTTTGCATAATCAGTAATACAAAAGATAATTCAAATTATTAATATAATTAATAAATTTGAATTTATATTTAAAATATTATATATATATATATATATATATATATATAATTTATAATATTTTAATATATATATATAGAAATTAATTAATTTTTTAACTTTATATTTTTCTATACAATTTAATATATCACTTAAAATTCCTCCGATAAAAAATAATTAGTGCTTTAATTAAATATTTTAATAAATATCTCGCGTTAAAGAAGTGAGTTAATATATTATTACTACGTTAGTGGAACATTGATAAATATTCACCTTTACACTTTTCATTAATATAATATTAATTTACTTTAAAAAATAATTAAAATAATGTTAAAAATAATAATAAGACAATTTTTTATTAAATAATGGAAAAAATTATTTAACTTTTTTTAGGTTTATTTTCTTCATAGTTTTATTTTTAATTTCAATCCATTATTATTAAAAATTCCAAATTCAATCCCATTTTCTTAAAAATATATCAAATTATTTCTCTCGGTAAAATTGATAAAAGTACATTTAAACAGTATCGTGATATTATTGTTAATAATACTCACATTTGCGGATTTGTTGTAATTTTCTTTCTTGTCTTTTTTACCACAAAACAAAAAATTTGAAATTAAAAAAAAAAATCAAACCATATTTTTCTTTCTTTTACCATTCATTCAATCCTATCACAAAGATAATCTAACACCCAAAGATAATCAAACCACAGTTTGTTATGACTTTTTTTATTTTACTTTACTCTTATCAATTCTAAGCAAACAAATGGATTCTTTTTCTCATCTTTGTTTTATTTTTAAAGAAAGTGTTATGTAATGAATAAGACAGTAAAAGTGGCTAGTTGGTGTTTTTTTTTCATTCCAATGATTTGTTTAAATTACAACAGAATCGATTGATCCATCATAATTAAAATATTATAAATTTCAATTTATTCCGTCAAATGGTAGATTGAAAGCTTAACTAATTAGCTTGTCAATCATTTCTTTTATATAAATTTTTTTATATATTTTTAAAAAAATATATTTTTAATAATATGAATAATTTTTAAGTATTTATTTATTAATTAATATTTTTATTAGATAAATTTAAAAAAATATTATATTTATATATCAAAATAATTAGTTATAATTAATAATTTAAATTTAAGTAACTAATTTTATAATTTTAATTATAATATTATAATATATTTATATATCTTAATAATTATAAAAATATAATATTTTTAATTATAATTATTTAATTTTAATGTTAATATAAATATTATTTTAAAACGGATAAATAGATAAAACCTTCCGAGCGTCAAATTGGTCGAATAGACAGATCCATCCCGCCATTTTTTAATCAGGTTAATGGAGCATTGGACGTAGTAATGATTAGGTATAATGTATTTCACATGTTAAGTTTATATAAACAAAGTACTAAAAATATTATATAATACTTTTTATTAGATAATTTTACGAAATTAATGTAAGAGATTATTGATTATTTTAAAAAAATGACTTTAAATAAAAAGATACTTAGCTTAAACATTAGGAATATGATTATAAAACCCTTACATGAAGGATTTAGACCAATATAAATTACCGAATAATATAAAGATTAAACAAAACTGCCCAAGAATAAAAGTCCACAGCACTGGAAAACCAATGAAAGATTTACTAGTTGCTCCATATATAGGACCAATTTTTCAATTCTCTCAAATTTATATATGTAAGATGACAAATTTAAATTTATGAAAGAGGGTAAAAGGGTTTTATCAAATTTCAATCCATTCAAACACCAAAATACAACTTAATAATAATAATAATAATAGTTAAATATATAATTTGTATGTATTATAATCTGATTTTAAATATTTATAGGTTTTAATATCCATTCAATCAAAATGATGGTTTCAACAGTTTGAAATATTAATTGCACTTCCTGCATTTTTTTAACTATAGGTTTAATTTTGAAGCAACATCACAACCATTCGGTATTTGTTTTACTTTATATCGGATTTACCATGTGAAAATATATTTAATTTTATTTCAAAATATATAAGATGAGAAAGTCTAAGATTCCTGTCTTTTAATTATATTTATTAGATAATAAATTATTTAAAAATATTTTATTTAAAAAGAAAATATTAAAATAACAAAGATATTAATAAATTTATTAAAATTAATAAAAAATAATATTTATATTAATTTATATAATCAAACTTTAAATATTTTGATATATTTAAAATAGATGAATAATTATTTAACTCAATTTAATATTATTTAACTCAATTTAAACAGAATACTCATGTATTTTATATTGAATAGCGCGAAGAACGTTCCCTTTGAGTAGTGTGCGACTTGTTTTCATACGAAGTCAAAAGTCAAATTTAAGAAAATAAGAAAAGTTTGACATTTATGATGGATGAGATACCGCGCCGACGGCGGTGTGGTAAGGACCATGTGTGTGTGACGCGTGGAGTCAACTACTTGTATTAGTTATTCAAATTATTTTATACCAATAACAATAATAAATATATTTTTTAATATGACCCAGACAGTAATAAATATGAAAAAAATAGAAAGGAATATTTATTCTTTCATTAAAAGTAGAAACATAAACTAATTTGAATTTTTTTAGAAAGTTAGATCTGCTGGTGGATGAATCGAGTACATAAAAAAATGTATTTAACTTATCAACACTAATAAAAATAATTAGATTTATTTATTTATTCTAATTGATATTTTCGTCAATTTCTTTTTTACAAAATATATAAACCTAATTGATGGTAGGGTTTGGTTTAAAAAAAAAAAAACTATTTGTAAAATTGTTTGTCAAAAACTGAAAAAATAAAACTAAATTCAACCTATTCTTAATTGTCTTTGCTGTCTATTTTTTCTCAATCGAATAATTTATATCTGTCTTTTATCTATTTTTCTTCTCTTTACCAAATACGGTTGAAGTGCGTTAATAACCTTTAACTGTGAATTATTTTAAGCACAATATATTAATCTAAACATTTTTCTCAATTTAATTAATAATTTAGATCTTTAAAAGAATGGAGTATGAGTTATGATATAAAAATAAATTGAAACTATCATAATTAACTATACACAATATTTTATAATATATTTAAAAATTTTATAATAAAAAATTTATAGAAATTAAATATAAAATATTTTATTTGATTTGATTGATATTTAAAAAAAAATCAAATTATATTTGAAATTTATATTTAATTTAAAAAATCGAACAAAATCAAACCACTGACACTCTACCTACTTCACCTTTCTTTCGCACAATAACAGTAGAACCTAACTACCCATTGTCCACTACTGTCTCAAATGATTCCCCCAAACATCGTTCTACAAAGTAGTTCTTTTTAAGAATATATGATAACAATTATGTCGGATAATGAACTTAATTATCTGTAAAAGGTTAATTAAATTGAGTAGGTAATCTTATACTTAGATGTAATGTGAAAAAGTTAATATGCTCAAGTAATCATATCCTTAAACAATGTAAAATCCAAATCATGTTCAAATACCATCTAATCTGATGTGATTCCAGGTAATTATTTATATGTTTAGTTTACACTTTAAAATTTCCCTCTCAATCTTAAATTGATTTTGAGTCAAATTTACATGACAGATTTGCATACCGTTTAGAGACAAATGACTTTTGTTTAATTAATAAAGTAAAATCACTAACAAAGTCATACTTAGAATTAATTCTTTTTAAACAATTTTTATTTTAAAAAATATCACTTCACTTAATTAATTCTGTTTACCATTCCCGGGGAGTTTATATTTCGAACCAAAGAGGTCAAAGAACACACGGATGGGCAATCAAGGCGCAATTTTTCTTCGTAGAAAGTAACATTTTGTTTGCATATCATAATTATTGAAGCTTTTCAAATAACTTGGTAGACTTTATTGTCACTACTTTTTAGTATTTTCAAAAGGTTGAAATTTGTTCATTTGAAAAATTGCTTTCACTGTTTCCCTACTAGTGGGGGCTGCACTCCACATGGTTTATTTAGGATTCGGCATCACAAATTTGTCACATTTACACATTTTTTCAATTTCACATTTTTATAAGCATATGTTGAAAATAACTTGTCTTGGGATAGATTCTATCATGTAATGAACAATGAAAGCATAGTCAAAATTGTACCAAAAAAAGTAATTGACTAATTTACGAAAGGTAGCTTACCCTTTCCAAGAGTAATCAGATGTACCGCTCGTCTAGAAGCATGTTGCTTTACCCAAAATTGGATGAAGCAAGCATTTGCCGGCGGCTCATGAGTGTGGGGAACAAAGAAGTCAAAAGAATGACAAACATAGATCAAATCAGCAATTGAATCATGTACCTTCTGTGCTAATATAGGTTATGAGAAGAAAGTTTCAATACTAATATCTTCCGAAAATAAATTCATTACTAAAAACAATTGTAGCAATTTAGAAATGGCACAATGCCTCCTACATCCTGAAACTTCGTGTCCATAGATTCTCCCTCCTGGGAAAAATGAGTTACTGTTTCTGCGATCATCAATGCAAATCCTTTTAGCAAGACAAAGCCTGTCTGCAATAAAAATGAATCCCTTGGAAGATGTTAATTTTTAAAAAATGCCTGTACAAGGAAGGCAACAACAATCAGAGGGTGATTTTTTTTTTCATGACAGAAAATGATAAAATGGAAAGCTTTAAGCAAATGACAAATTTGTATGACGGGTTCACCCTTAATTTGATGCCCCAGCTTTACTACTGAATCCATTTTTTTGCCTCTTGTTTGATATAATATCAGAAAAAGAGTCTACCAGTTGTCCTGCCAAACTATTTGGATCATCCATAAGAGTTTGAATGAAGGTATTAACCACCCTGCGTTCTTGCTCTGTCGCCCTTAAACTAAACCATGTTAGCAACTTCAACCTAAATTCTTGTTTGATGTGACCCTCACATTCCAGCCAGCGAATTACTTTCACACAATACTCAAAGTTCTCATCCAAGGAACCTGAACCATCAGATATACGTAAAGGAGAACCGTTTATCAAAGTGCTGTCACAATCATGTGTCTCTTCCATTGTGCTTGCTATCCTTTTTCTGAACATATCTATGCGTGAATCAACAGCAGATACTTCTCCTGTTGGCCCATGGGTCCAGGTTTGGGAATCCCCACTCCCATGTGATCTTGCTAAACCATTTTTCTCTAGATCATGAGAAGCAGCATCATCGTCTCCCTCCACAGTTTGCAACAAAGAGCAACCATTATCTTCATCCCTAGAATACTCAAAAGGAGGTGTTAGCTCTTCATTTAAATCAGGAACTGAAACAACATTTAAATCAAGGTCTCGAGAAACTGAGGGCAACTGTACTTCTGGAATTCTTGGCTTAACCAACATTTCACTCTGTCCACAGCAATTTTTCATATTATTGGCACAGCAAAACTCTTCCAAGTAACCTTGCTCTTGAGCCCAAGCAAGACGCAATATTTTCCCAAGGTCTCGTACCTTGAATCCATAACTGTCCATTGAGGCATTTGGCACCATCTTGGAGCCCGAAGAATTTTCCCTAGATAGAAGGTTTTCTTTTTCATGATTCATAGCTACAGATGACGAGCGGTTGTTTTTAATTACCTCGATGCTCTTAGTGAAACACTTGGCCTCAGAATGACCCAGGTCACGTGTATCTGTATAAGATATGATCCGAAAAGTATATTCTGTGCAAGGCTTGAGGTTGGATATCAAAATCCTCCTCTGAGATTTGGGAAACACGGAAACAGGATCTTTAGTGGGTGATTCATCCCGACTCTTGTAATACCAGAGCTTGTATCCTTTAATCTCCTCGGAATATATATTTGACATTTCAATTAAAATGATTTTGACACAGGAAGTTGCTACCTCTTCAAATACAAACTTGCAAGCAGCAGGAAGTGAACCCTCTGCGAGTAATAAAAATACCATCATGTCCGAAATAAATGAGACCGAAAAGTGAGAAATTTATGCCCCTCCACCCAAAATATATAAAATTAAAAGCTAAAGAGCATTAGTTCCAACCTGTGGAATCTGGATTTACATTGGGAACAGAGGCGAGCCACCTATCAGCTTTATCAATAGCAAGTGAGCAGAGTTTCTGCATATCACTGGCAATAGGGAGTCTGCTGACAATGCCTCGAGCCATTTTGGCAGAAACACCATTGACAGGACCAACTTCTGTCTCCAGCTTAGCCTTCGCCTCTTGTACTGTTTGAAGCAAGTCTTTGAATTTTGAGGTTCCATCCAGGAGCCTGTAGCTCAAATATATCCTGTAACAGAGTACATCTACACGTCGGGCATCCTTAGCAATATTTAGCTGCTTCTTCCAACATCTGCAATAAATAAACATGAATCACCATAACAAAACGGGTCTAGAAATTCACTTACCAACATACAAACTGCAAATGGTTTAAATATTACAGTCTACATGTCTTTTTAATAACTATCATTAGAGGTTATGTTATTATTAAATATGTTAGACATTACCTGTAATGTTGACAGTCTAGGGCAAAAAGTTGAAGCAATTACATATTATTATATGCGTTTTCTAATAATTTGGACACAACTCTGCTACTTCCTAAGAGTCTGAATCTAGGACAGTAAATTCTGAGTGATTTAAAATTACTCTTCTCTAATATATAAACTTTTGTTCAATCAGAAACACAAACCGTTAAGGATTCACCCAAAACCTTTGTATAATATATCAACAACAAAAACAACCGAGTCCATTCGGTAGAGCCAGCTACATGAAACAAACAATGCAAAGTGTTCTATTCTAAATCACCGTTCTAAACAACATAAAACTTCAGTATATCAAATCAATAATAAAAATGTGGAAGGAGGAATGACAAATATTACCCACCGCACATGCAAACAAAATTACTTACCCAAGTATCCCCGTAACTTTCCCACAGGATGCACAACAATAACCACCGTCTAGTTGCATCAGTTGCCCATGATCAACCACTCCCACCTTTTTATGTAGAAGGGCACATTCGATATGGCAAGACAACCCACAGGAGTCCCCTAGAGTAGATTCAGATGTGCATACCAACCAAAGACTAGGATCTTTGTTATCATCAAATAGGTGACAAATACAGCAAGAGCATCTTCTACAGAATGTGTCATCTATAGACAGAACTGCCCTACAGGCAGCATTTTTACAGATCCAAGTGTTTGAATGGCCAAAATCAGAAGACTGATCAGGAGGAGGTGAGAGTCGAGTGGGATTTTCACCCTTCCGAGGCTGCTTCCTAGAGGGCTGATGGCTGAAACTAGTTACTTTTTTTGTGTCTTGTTTCTTAATCAACTTCCCAGATGACTTAGTTTCAGTCATCCTGCTTTTCGATGAAATGTTTTTGTCCTTGTCAAAACATGCTCGAAGAATTTCCTTCTTTGCACCACATTTTAAGAAGTGCTGAAGGAGTTCTGAACTTTTGGAAGCACCATCCGAATGGCCATTTTTTTCCGGAGTACTTTGCACACTGGATGAAAGGCTTTGAACACCAGAAACTGGACAGAAAAACAAAAACAATTGTAGTAGTATTTTGCAGAAACAACAAAAATTAAACTTCAAAGAATAAAACTAGGACTCAGATAGACAACATAGACAACAGAGATAGATTAAGACTATGTAGGAGTAAAACACATGAATTCAATAAATGATGATTTGACTTCAGGTTCCATCAAAGAAATATGAATATAAGAGTATTATTTGTACAGTTGAACCATCAGGAATCAAAACAGATTAACCCTTCAGATCAAATACAATAGAACTGATTCAATTTCACTCCACAAATAAAAACAGTCATACTTGCAAACAAATAAGCCTTAGACCACCATACATGGATGATAGACTCAAGATTAAGTAAGCCAAACATCCAACAACCGGAACTAACAAAACCAAACTATATAGCTAATTCCATGAAAGAGATCATTCAGGAGATAACAATCTACAAATGATTGTGCAAACTACAAGAAAATTTGACCATAGCTACATGTTATCCAAGCATTGTTGCGTACTAACATTAAACTGCTTTGACACTACTGTGAATCAAAACCATTTGACAAGAAAAAAACATCTGTTAGCTTCTTAGAAGACAGTTCTACATATAAAATATTCCCCTTCAGAAACAAAACATGGAATCAAACCACCTTCAAATTTATAAGCTTTCAAAATCTGCAAACATGACGGTTTAAATTAAGAGCTAATATCAAACCACATTAGGCAAGATCATTCAAGGTAACCAGCCAGAAAAACACAAATCCAAATCAATTATGGCAGTTCTACTTCTAGATGAACATCTACCGAGGAAAAGACCTGGAATCAAGTTCCTCCAGACAGATTGCATAGATTTTGAACAAAACACCCAGATTATAAGCTATCATGCAATAGGAGGGATAAAAGTCTCGAGCCATCCTGAAAATGGATAAATTTATGACATGATCTTCTTAATAAATTCCAAATAATAGGATCAGATTTTCACACCAAAAAGTAAGAATATTCACAATGAAGACTGGTGAAGTATCACAAGTATGCACAACAACAGGCTTTCCATGTAGGATTTACAGAATGTTTTCCATATAAGATTTACTGAAAGTGTATTGTTCCACACACATAGCTTTATTTATAATCAGGTAATAAAGTAATTGAGGATACAATATAAGAGAATCTCTAACTAATAGCTATATCTATGTTTCCCTATTTAGATATCATTGATATGATATGATATGATATGATATGATATGATATGATATGATATGATAATCCACACAAATTAAATCAAATACCTTAACAAATGGAAGGTTACATGGAAAATTGATGGGTGAGGGGGGACTACAAAGGCATATTCATAGCAAACAATGAGACAACCACAGTTATTGATTTCAGATGGCACATAGTGGCCAACTCTGAAAACACTACAGCAGAATGGTCACCATTTTAAATACGACCTAAATAGTTTATACATTAGACAAATGAATACTCAAACAAAAAATAACAAAATTAAAGAAATCCATGATAAATGATTAGTATAAACACACAATCAACATCAATCAGAGATAATAAGAACACAGTAAAAAAAGTGAAAAAAATAAAATAAAAGATTCTGACAGAGGGTCTGCGCAGCTGAAAGCATGTGCCAAAAATTGGAATTTGAAATTTTATATATTTATGTCATACAAAGATGGAATGCAATTAATGATCAGTCCTTACAATAGCTTAATATGTAAACATCATCTCAAGCTGGAAAAACTGCTCCTCGATAAGCATTAAAAGAAGATATTTCTTATAATTGAATATTATTATCGTAATCTAACCTTAAACATATGAACAAATTATAAATCAGTCTCATATTAATAAAAAAACATGACTTTTTTAACATGATAGCTTCTGGAAGTAGGATGATGTAACTCTCTATCAATTTATTGTACTTGTTGAGATGAACAAAAAAAATGTTTGGTAAACATTGACATATACTCCAACCTTCTTTGCAGTTCAGCTCAGTGTAGTCAAACACATTAAAAGTGTGCCTAAGGCACTGCCGCAAGAGTCCATGTGAGATCAGTGCCTTTATGCTTCAGGCAAAGCCTGTCTCTAATGCCTCGCTGACAAGGATAAAAATTCTAAGAAACCACAACTATCTAATTTATTAACTGTGCTTCCAGCCGAAAAGGTTCTTGCATGAGTGATTGTTAGAGATGTCAATAAAAAACCATTAATGCATCTTCACCTAATAGATTTTACACTTCTTAGGTAAAATAGTCAGAATGTCAAAGAATAAATAGTAGTCAGTCTTTGGGACTCTTAGCAGCAAAGAACTCAGGGTTTGTAAAATGAACACTACAGTCTTTTAATTTTAATATGAATGTTTCGCTCTAGTTGTTAGTTAATATGGAAAATGAATGCAAAATAGTAAATTATTTTACTGACAATTTATTTACATCACTGGTTTAAAGAAGTTCAAATTTATATCCACATGTTAAAGGGGAAAATAATTGGATACTCTTGTAAATCATTAAAAGGAAAAACCAAGAAATATCCCATTGGAAAAATTAAACCAGAGACGTTTTTCTCTAAAATCTTAAAAAGCTCCCTCAAATTATAGCAATTAAAATTTGTGTCACTTACATCACATTTTTGTTAGTAGTATTAGGATTAATGTGTTATTATTATCCAAAATAGGGTAATATAGAGGTTTTACAATGTAAAACATTTCAACACAATAGAGACAATCTGTGTCTTTTTTACTCAGTACAGCATTATTCAAAACTTATTGGATATTTCAGTTATGCAAACCATCGAGACAATTGTGTTCCAAAATATTCTTCAGATTAAGGGGGAAATACAACTATACTTGTTAGTAACATGTGTTCAGAATTTATTTAAAAAACATCAAAAGCATATCCCTCATATTACACCAATGGCCCCAGACTCTAGCTGAATAGCAGAATTAATCTCAAACATGTATACTAACAGGGTATATCACATCATTGAATAACTATATTTTACTTTAGCAATAACTACACTATATTTGATCATATGGGCTAAACAAAATCTTGTAAAAGATAAGCCAAGAGGGCAGAGGAAGCTTCAACACCGTCTTACTGGAACATTTTAGATTCAAGATTCTTGAACACGCAAGCACAGAATGTTGATATGCAACACATCATGAGGCAACAATAAATAAATTATAACAATGATATGTGGACAAAAAACCTTCTAAATGTCAAGCTGCACTTGCAATAATTATATCGTACATTGGACTGAGACTGTACAAATTTAGTGTTTGTCAGGAAAGAAAACATAAGTAACCACATGGTTAGACATAATTAAAATAAATAGCAGCATGACATTCAATGGAAGAAAACTTGCAAAATAACAGAAACACTAGATTCAAGATTCTTGATCATGCAAGCACAGAATGTTGATATGCAACACATCATGAGGCAACAATAAATAAATTATAACAATGATATGTGGACAAAAAACCTTCTAAATGTCAAGCTGCACTTGCAATAATTATATCGTACATTGGACTGAAACTGTACAAATTTAGTGTTTGTCAGGAAAGAAAACACAAGTAACCACATGGTTAGACATAATTAAAATAAATAGCAGCATGACATTCAATGGAAGAAAACTTGCAAAATAACACTAGTAAAGCAAATTTACAGAGGTAATAAGACTTTTAATCACATGTTCATTTTTTCCAAACTCATATTTCAGTCGTATGCTATACCATATCACAATGTTTACTTCAATGAATTAACATGTAAAACTACACTAGTTAACACTCATCTCTTGATACATCACACGAAGAGAAAACAAACTGCCATAAAACCTTCAAAAGTGCATACACCAGAAGAAGCACGGTATCATACCTTTAGCAAGGAACTTCTCTTCTAAATCCATTAACTATGATCGAATGGCCCTTTCCTGACAATCACATAGATATAGCATTACCAGGATGTTTATATTAGTGGGAAGATCAAAGCTGTGTCAAGTAACACCTACCACTCCACAATGTCAAATATATAGGAAAAGGAATTACAAAGTAAAGTCTCAATTATGAAAACGCACCAAATAAAGTTAACATGAAAAACAACTTGCTTTAGCTAAAATTTCAGCTGCTTAAGATCAAGAACAGCTAACAACAGTGTTGACACAAAAGTTTTGTTTTTCTTGTTCATCTTAACTTTTACTTAACAAACAAAAATACCATGACATTTCATAGGAACAATGCTGGTTCATAAATTCAAATACAAGAATGTAGCTCATGAACAGAACATAATAGACCTGCAATAAATGGAACTACAATGCAGGATAGGAAAATCAAATTAAATTATGTTCCAGGTACAAAATAAACACGACATAAAAAGGAAAAAAATTGAAATCATACATAAAATAAACCTATCCACCCCACAATGCCTCATGCAAAAGATTATAATAAACACAAAGCAAATGACATAGAAACCTACCACAACATCTCACACACCCAATCAATATGACAAAAATATTTACTTTATTTTTACATACGTGTACTGTACAAAAATACGAAAGATGGACTACGAAGTGAAGAGTGCTCTCTAAAGCCTCACACGTCGCGATTTAACAGCCTCTACCACACGCATTGTGCAGTCCGCATTGACGATATGCAAAACCAAAGCGTGATTTTCTTTATTTTTCCTTTTTACCATAAGAGGAAAAACAAGTCCTATACGCGAATATGAACGAATACAGAATTACAAAGCATAACATGAAAATAGAGGAGAAAAACAAGAGTGTATGAAGAGATTGGAGAACGAATCTGCGCAGAAAATAGAGCCCAAAAAATTTGACAAAAGTAGAATGATGAATAATATAATAATAAAAAAGAGTTACAATAATTTTGGGTAAAGTGAAGAAGATAGAATCTACAGAAAACGCACCTTGGGAGAATGAGAGGGGTTTTGCTTGAAAGCTTAAAAATTGTTTTGCTCCGAAGAGCATGAATGAATAAATCGAAGCGCAGGAAAAATTCTTGGTTGTTAGTTGTTATTATTTGTTGGAGAGAGAACAAAAAAGAGGAACTTGTGCGAGTTGTTCACGTTATAGAAAGGAGAGAAGACGGCAAAAGACACGCGCGGAGGAGCGCGTGCGGGGGAGAGTAGTAGTTTGAAAGCAACAATGGTTTGGGATTTTTCTGCAGTTGCACGGTTACCGCTACGCATCTACTCCTACACTCTCACCACACTGACTCGTCTCATCTTCTCTCTCTTCTATATGTGTATGTATATATATTTACCCTAACACACACTACTTACTTTTTCTTTTCTTAATTTCCTTTCCCTTCTGTGATGTTCACGTGAAAGCCCATAAATGCCCTCGCAAAAGTAAAATAATAAATATTTTACTTTTTTTCAAGTTAATTTTTTAATATTAAAAATAACTTTTATATTTATTTTTCTTTTCAAATATATTATTATTAAAATATTATTTAATTTTTACATATATAAAGTTTTTATGTGTGTAAAATTATTACATTATATTTTATCAATATCACCTAAATAAGGTAAAGAAGTATACAAATTTGAAATTATCTTTCAGAATTTATTTTTATTTTATGACTAAATTAAAAATTTTATACACGTTAAATGATTCAATTTTCAGTCTATTAAAAATAAATACTATATTTGATTCTTTAAAAGTATTTTTTAATTTTTTAAAATAAGAGAAGATTTTAGTATATATATATATATATATATATATATATATATATATATATATATATATTTAAAATTAAAATCTTGTAGGATATGTTTAAGAGAGAGACTCGGCTAATTCTTATTTAGTTTGAGAACAACGAGAGTGAAAATAATGTTTGTTGATTGGTTGAATAGAAATATGTGTTTACAACTGAAATTGAGAGAAAATAAGGACAAATATATATGTTTATAAAATTTATCATTTTTAGTGAAATCTTTTTAAGTTGTGTTTGATGAATAAAATTAAGAAAAAAAAAATTAAGTGGGATGATTTCTTGATTTGTTTTCAAAGTAAAAAACAAAAATACTTTAATAATCGTTGAAAGTCTCACGTCATCTACGTCATATCATTTTGTATGATTTAAATTTATGATAGGTTACTCCTCCACATATTGCCGATTAGTTTTATGTTGGAACCTTAACATGGTATCAGAGTCAAAACCTAACATCTTTCCAGTTATTGTTATGGGCCAAAAGTTATCTTTTAGTTTGGTCAAAAGTACTCTTTGGGTTCGTTGAAGGGGACGTGTTGAAAGTCACACGTCGCTTACACTCATGTTATTTGGTATGGTTTAAATACATGTTAAACTACTCCACATATTGTCAATTAGTTTTATGTTGTAACTTTAACCATAATTAATTAAATATTACACTAATCTCTTTGGTTTATGTTAAATGATACTCACATCTATTTTTATCTTAAAATAGATATTTATTTTGCTTTTTACCAAATTAACTTTTTTTTTAATCTTTCGTGTATTAAAGTATATAAATATACTAACGTTAAAAAAAACTACGTACTTCAAAATTGGTCCATATAAAATTAACACCTCCATAAAACTTTAGATGACTTTATATCTAATTTTAAAAAATTATAGCTCCATTAATTTTAAATTAATAATATTATCATATAGTTATTATAGGCATACATTTGCAAATATGTTAAAATATATTCATATACTTTATATTTATCTGTTTTTATATGCAGGGAATGTTGTTATCAAATATAACATTTTGTATTTTTTTATGCACAATTAATAAACAAATTCAATTAGATAAAAAAATTAATAGAAATTTTATTTGAATATTTATAAAAATTATTTATTTATTACATTCATTCTAATTTATAATTGAAAAAAATATATATAACTTTTTTATATTATTAATAAACTCTTTGTATTGTTTTCTTATGATTTTTTTTTCATTTTTATATCTTTAATGTTAATCTTCGTAAAAAATAATTTAATTGTAATTAATGTGAAAAACATTAAATAAAATAAAAAATTAAATGTTACTTTCTTAAAAAAAAGTATTAAAATAAAATAAAAATGTTTAAATGTCATTTAAAAGTACTTAAAATAAATTATATTGAAATTTATACTCACGCACTTCATCCAAATGTATATAATTTTCCATTGAATATTGCAGAGCTACAAATGTTTCAATTATATATTATTCTACTTTTATTATATTCTTTTATACTGATTTAAGAATCATGGTGTATCTATAGATGAAATCTCTTTCTTCTTCCAATATTTATCAAAATTCGGTCTAAAAATCCAAAAATGTCAGTGGTTAATTTTTTTGGTCATTTTTTGTCATTCTACTTTATTTGATAAACAAATCCTAAGATTGATTACTCAATATATTTTAGTAGAGATTGATGATTGACAAAATTAAGAAATATTTTACACAAATATGATACTAACCCGAAAAATAAGATAAATTTATATCTATGCATGTAAATAGTTAGGATGTGTTTTGAAAATTCTATCATATAAGATAAAAAGGGTAGAAATATCCTAACTTGCGCCTAAAAAATCTTATTCGTAAATAAGATTTAAAAAATGAAGGTTTTTAAAAACTAAACATTTTTTTTCATTTATAATTTTTAAACTTAATTAAACTTAAAATATTACTTTTTAGTTAATTTAAAACTCTTCCTATTAAGATTAAAATAAATTATTCTTTTCGTTTTGGACTTACTTAAGTCAAGTAAAACTATTATAGGGATGAAAAACTCTATTTAAATATTTCATGCTGCATATTAAAGACTCAAATTCAAAATTACGAATTAAGTTAAAATAATTTGATGTGAATTAATTAACACACTTAATATGGTATTAATAAAAACTATTTTTAAGAAATTCATAAAATACTCAAAATTTATACTTTTATGTCTTTTGAGTTAAAATGATTTATTATAAGCTAAAAAATAGGGTAATAAAAAGAGAATACGAAAAAAAGATATGTAAAGGGTAGAACTGTCTCATAAAATTAATTTAACAACCTAAAAAAATGAAGGTGATGATTGCGCATAGCGAGTAGCTAGCTTCTGCTTTCTGCCTGAAGTAAAAAAAAGTACATAAAGCAGTGATTCCGCATCCTATTGGTTCGTGTTTTAACACTCTAGTTTTGGCGCGTGAGAACAACATTATCCATTTATCATTAAAATGTATATTTTAACATTTTGACAATTTATTATTATATTATAATATTAGAGATTAAATATAATTTCCTAATAACTTAATTTCATATTATTTAAATTATTTTATTAATACTCTTGTTTTTTTTTAATATACTGAAACTTTAAATCTCTTTCAAAATAATATTATGATGAAATTAAATAGAAATTCTAAAATGGTAATATTGTAAATATAATAATTAATTATAGTAATATTTTTAAACTATTTTGCATATGGCAACTACTCATCATTAATTTTCCCCACCAAAAACAAGATAACAATTTAAAAAACATAAGAAGTATCATTTTCAAAGTCACAATTGCAGGTTTTATTATTCATTTAAATAATTTTGTGATTACTGTTGCATGATTATATAGTTATTATATGTTTTTCGTGTGAATTTGATTTATTCTCAAGACATGATGTATGCACTTCTTATGCTATTTATATAAGCAAAAACAAATTTGGAATGTAATTTCAACTTTTCAAATCGTACTTTATGATCTCCATAAATTGACTTTTATTAACAAAAAAAAAAACACGAATACGGTTTTAGAATCCGAATAGGTCGTGTTTGGACATAGATTTTTAGTTTTAAATAAGTAAATGGAAAAATCACTTTTTAATACATGCAAACTTTGGTTCCGAGGTATGTACTTAGTTAGTATAGAGAGAGAGCATGGGAATGTACCGTGCCTTGTTCCGAATAAATATTGTTTCTGAATATTTTCAAATGTATTATTTTAAGATTTGATTAGGAAGTGTGTCCAATTTTGTTCTATAAATATATAACATCAAAATTGTATTAATAATATTTTAACAGTGTGTAACAACCTCATAAATAAATATTTTTCACTTAGAAAAGAAAGAAATAAGAGTCGTATTTTCTAGTAATATATATAACATGGGTAGTTTTTATTCAGTGAATCTTAAAAATAATATTTTTTTAAAATTACTTAAATAGAATTAATATAAATTTATTTACTCAAATAGACATATTTTATTTTTATATATAGTTTTTTGTTTTTCTTTTCATATTTTTTTTTCTTTCTTCATTCAATTATCATCTTTTTCTTTTATATTTTACATCTCTTATTCTCCTTTCTCTTCTCTTATTTATTCTCCTAATTAAACTACTATATTAAAATTTAATAAAAATATGATAAAACAAATATTTTAAAAATAACATTAAAACTAAAGATTATTAACTAAATATTTAAAATTATAATAACAATAAATAAATTTATTTATTTTGACAATAAATAATTTTATTTACTATAATATTAATAAAAAAATTTAAATTTTTTTATTATAATAAATAATTACTCATCTAATTAAAAATATTAAATATTTATAATTTAAATGTATTATTATTTAATATTTTAATCTAGTTGTAATTGGGCATTTAAAAAAATATTTATTAAAAATAATTTAAAAATAAATATTTTTTTAATAATTATATCATAATAATAATATTTATAACATCTCAAATTTATCATATAATATTATTTCTTCCTTTAATTATATTAAATAATTATTTTTATTATTATCAATTTATTAAAAAATATTTTCCATTTTTTATCATTTGATAGTTATCCATAACATGTTTTCTTATTTAAAATAATTTTTTAAAAATAGAGTTAGTAAACAATTTTTTTATTTTAAAAAATAGAATTAATCTTAATTTTTTTAAAATTAAAAAACAAAACTAAATCAATAAATATCCTTAATTTTTTCCCATTTTCTTAAAATGATTTTCTAACCCTCTTCGTCAAATTACCAAATTTAATTCACCTCTTAATCATCTTTATTTGTTATTTCTACCAAAGTGGATATTTACGAAGAGTTTAAACTAAATTTTGACTTCCTACCTCATGAATATGAGTCTTATCAATGGCAATAAATAAAAATCAATATCTTATTAAAAATAAGATATTAATTAATGATAAAATCGGCAAATATTATATATCAATAATAGTATCATCCAAAAATTTGGAATTAAGCAATTTTTGTTAATTTTAATTAATGTAGAAACTTGTATTTTCTTATAAATATTTATGGATTATATATTAAATATTTCTCATTTAATAGTTTATGATTTTGGATGAGTGATTGACACTTCTTGTGTAGCGTCATTGGTTGGTGTGTCTGATTTGACACTTCTCTAACTCTCAATTCAATCGTTTCCTTGTTCAATTCAATAACTCTATTCTTTTATTTTATTTTTTTAATTAAACAATAATATCCTTTTTTTCCCAATATAAAAAAATTAATATTATATAATATTATGATGCGTGTAAAGAGCTATTGGGACAACAGTTGTAAATATAACTGCACTTCTAACCTTTTATTCAAGGCTTGTACTATTCAAAAGTAAATATGCTCATTTAATCACCTGTACTTGGTACTTTTTAAAATCTATATCTTAATTCGTAGCACAAATAATATTTTCGTCGGGATAATTTGTAAAGTTTGTAAAATATAATTTTTATATAATTATGTATGTTAAAAGTATATATTTCAGAAACAATACTTTTATAAAATGTAGAAAATATTTATTTCTAGAAATATTAAATAACGTTTAAGATTTGAACATAATATTTGAAAGAATATAATTCTCTCAAAATAATATCAGTTATTTTTAAAAGAAAATAAAAAACATTATATAATGTTTCATAAAGTTTTTTACCGTCGAAAGAATCTTGTATTCAGTTTCATAATAATGTTTTGTTGAGAAACAGAGTTAAGTAAAAATAATTTCGCAAAATCACCTACTTATATTTTGATAAATTAAAATTTCAGTAAGTGCAAAATTTATTATATTAGTGTTAGGAAGATATCAATAAAAAAATCGAAAAAGTGAAAGGAAACAAAAATCGAGAACTATACAATTGATTGAAAAATCGATAAAATTGACAAGACACCTGGTGACCACAAAGATAAAAACATATCGAGTATTGAAATCGAGAATCAAGAGAATAACACTTAACGTCCGTTGGTGAAGAAAATCAAGAAATCAAAATCATGTAACGTTGAGGATACCGAGAATCAATAGCAATCCAAAACTCTCGAAGTCTCGAAGTCTAAATCGAAGGGAAGGCTAACATATGCGAATATCGAAATTTTGGCTAAAAAGAACGATCGACGTATACATCGAACATAGTAAGCGGTGGCAAAGACCGAAGGTCAAGGGAACAGTTACCTCATGCATGGGAACGTGGATGCAGTTTCTAAACCATAGAGCTAAGAGCAAAGCGCAAAAAGACGTGCACAAAGAACGTGGTAGCAGTTTTTGTTAAGCTGCTCTTAAGAAACTACTTGAAAAGACACTACAAATAGAGCGAAGGATGAGAGGGGAGGAGGTGGAAAATTGGCAGAGAACGAAATACTAGTGAGAAGTCTATCGAGAGAACGACGAACATCATGAAGTTTCTGGCGATCTGGATTTCCACGCTCATTGAGTACCTTTACCACTTTCTTTATTTTCCTTGGTAATTTACTTTGATGCGAGTTTATGTTTAGCAACTTTAAGTTTCTGTGTTTTCGATTTACGGTCAATTTTAGTTTAATGGAAGTTAAATTTTCTGCATTTAAATTTTTCGTCCTTTAACTTCGATGCAAATTCGATTTCCGGTTATTTACTTTTTCTGCGTATTTCGATTTTTGCTATTTACATTTCCGCAATCTCTATTTCCAGTTAGTTCCACAATTTCGATTCCTTGTCGTCTACACTTAATGCAAGTTTAAGGTTTCAGTACTTTACATTTCTTCGCAATTTAATATTCGATCTTGCTTCTTTGATTTGATATTTGATCGTTTTTTCTCTTCGAGTACTCTAAATACAAAATACCAAAAAATAGTGCTTTCGATAAGTCATGACACGTTAGTAGGATTTTCTCGATACTGTGATATTTTCGATTCTCATATACATTTCGATTGAAAAAACATTTGCTAGCCTAAAGTAGAAAGAACTTGCGTGGTTGAGTTTTGGTTAGAACAAAATCTCTTAAGAATCGGAATCGATCAAAATTCCACCAGAAACAAATTGGAGCGCCAGGTAGGGGTGGCCTTGTGTTAAAAACACAAAATTGGTTAGTTCGAGAGTGTATGAGATTGAGGAGTGGGCGAGTTATAAGAATGAGTCAAAATTCATCAAGTAACCAGAGTAACAGTGAGGGTCTAAATGGTGTACATTCACCAAATACTGGGGGGCAAAGTCATAATGAGAATATGCCTGTAACATCGACAACTACGAGTATGTCGATACCTGTGGGTAATGAACAAAATTCAGGCACTTTAGCAAACACTCAAGTAGGATCTAGTGCGGTGGTACCAAATAATATCCAAACTGTGGGAAACCCCACAACAACCTATGTAGGGCCATATATGAGTACAAGACCGCCTGAGTTTTCGCTTAATAATATGAGTGGGGCTGAAACTTCTTCAACACAGCAGAATTCGAGATATAACTTAGGAATGCCTCAAACACTAGGTATGCCGCAAAATTTTGGAGTCCCTCCGAATTTAGGGACATCTCAAAACTTAGTAATCCCCCAGAATTCAGGAAGTGGACAGAATTTAGGCACACAACAAACACCTCCAAATCTAGATCATAGAGGAAATTTAGATCATAGAGGAAATCTGGATCATGGGAGATATACGTTCGATAGAGATTATCATCGATCTAATTTTGAGACTATCGAAAACACTGGTACTGGGATATCCAGTAACTCATTAGGAGTACTTAGACAACAAATGGATGAGAGCAATTATGAGATGGTGAATATGTTATCACAACAGTTGACTACAGTCCTAAATCCATTAGTTCAAAACACTACTGCTAGTTTTGAGATATTAGCAGACCAAATGTCACGAATCGGGGATGTATTGGCTGTACCTCGACGAACAAGGGTAGAAAATCATGCTAACCAGAATGCTAATATCAATCCCCCGTATC